TGTGGACACTTTGAGGGAAGGTAGCCATAGATTAAATATGAGTGTTTAAATATGAATGATTTGAAAGTAGTTGTTGATGCCTTAATTAAGGGAGGACAATAAAAAGTGATAATTTGCAAGTAGTTTCTGTCGACTTCAGTTAAGGTACAAATATTTTCATTGATTGTCTTGAAGAAGAGATAAAATAAAACTATCAATTACATATGAAGAATATGTCAAGGTTTAAATTTTTTTCAAAAATTGTGGAATTTTAAGGCAATGTTGAAGCCAATAATAAGTTCAGTTAGTACAGCATAGTATTCCAGGAGAAGAAAGAGAAGACAAATATAGAGGAGCTTTGGTTAAGAAAATACATTTATATCAGAGTTGTTGTTGTTGTTGTTGTTTTGGCCATGCCACGTGGCATGTGGGATCTTAGTTTCCCAACCAGGGATCGAACCCATGCCCCCTGCAGTGGAAGTGCAGAGTCTTAAGCGCTCGACTGCCACGGAAGTCCCCAGAGTTTTTAACATAGTGATCTTTCATTTAAACATTAAGATACAGAAAAGGAAGTTATAAAGGAAGGGATTAATTCAGTATTGCACAGCAGCAGTTCATAAGAATTTGGAGATCGCTTGTCAGGCCTACCTCATATTTAATGGCTCTGGTAGGAACGTGATCTGAAGATTTTTTTAAGGCAATATTTCAAGTGATGATTACGGTTGATCCTTGAAAAGCACAGGTTTGAACTGCATGGGTCCACTTATACATGGATTTTTTTCCAATAGTAGATACTACAGAACTCCATGACCTCAGATTGGTTGAATCCATGGATGTGGAATTGTGGATAAGGAGAAACTGTAGATACTGAGGCGCCATGGACACAGTGGACTGGAAATCATAGTGGATTTTTGATTGCGTGGAGGGTTGGTGCCCTTAATCCCTGTGTTGTTCGAGGGTCAACTTATTTCCTTATAAACATCATGATAGGGACTTCCCTGGCGGTCCAGGGGTTAAGACTCCGCGCTCCCAATGCAGGGGGTTCGGGTTCGATCCCTGGTCAGGGAACTAGATCCTGCATGCTGCAGCTAAAGATCCCGCATGCCACAATGAAGATCTCGCATGGGACAACGAAGATCCCGTGTGCGGCAGCGAGGACCCAGAGCAGCCAAATAAAAACAAACAAACAAAAAACATCATGATAAAGGAAGAAGGGATATTTTAAGCCATAGCTTTTCAACCTGTATAGTTCATAAGAATTGAATTTCTCCCTCCTATTCCAATTTGTCCCCTATGAAGTACTTGGAGTCTGTCTTCCCAAACCCCACTTAAAAATGTGTCTTAAGTATATAGTATATGTATTCCTATTAATTGACTGTTGGCTTTTACTTTCTCTACTTTGTAGTACAAATAACAATTTTTGTCTCTTTTCTAAATACTAAGTCTGGTTTTGCTAGGTCCATATACATGCCTTCCCCAGACTCCATTCTGACACACGTTAAGAAGCACTGGAGTAAGTGATCAAACATAGCATTGGGTGGGAACCAAATGTTAAGAGAAATGTTGATTGAATTGAACATAATTGAATTCAATCACAGACCACCAGATACAAAATGAACTGTCATTATTTTGGCCTAAATGAATTTAAGGGTTTGTTAATTACACTTGATTCCTTGTAATGTTAAAGTATGTCAGAGAACCCATTTTATTGCATTTTAGAAGAACCTAGTGACATATACAGTGTAAAAACTTAAATGTTTAAATATTTAAGAATCAAAGATCTGTTGTTGAGACTGTTGCTCTAATAGGTTATTTACTTTTCTTTCCTCTATTTTTAAAAAAGTTATTTATTTATTGGCTGCGTTGAGTCTTTGTTGCGGTGTGCGGGCTTCTCATTGTGGTGGCTTCTCCTGTTGCAGAGCACAGGCTCTAGGCATGCGGGCTTCAGTAGTTGTAGCTTGTGGGCTCTAGAGCGCAGGCTCAGTAGTTGTGGCGCATGGGCTTAGCTGCTCCACGACATGTGGGATCTTCCAGGACTGGGGCACGAACCCGTGTCCCCTGCATCGGCAGGCGGACTCTTAACCACTGCGCCACCAGGGAAATCCCTCTTTCCTCTTTTTAAAGCAGGTCTTTTCCAGTCCTTTCTCCTTTATTATGTTAATTCAAATTATAGGATAAACCAGCAGTTCTCAAAGTGTGGTCTACAGACTTCTATTTGTCCCCAGACCCCTTTGGTCCCTGAGATACTTTCTGAAGGTCTTGCAGTCAAAAGTATTTTCATACTAATACTAAGATGCTATTTTCCTTTTTCACCAATGATATTTGCCCCAATGGTGCAAAGGCAATGGTGGGTGAAATCGCTGGTCCTGTAGCACACACACATCACAGTGGCACCAACACACTGTAGAAGTGGTCTTCATCACATGCACTCATGGTTTTAAAAAAGCCAGTTTTACTTAAGAATACCAGATGAAGCAGTAAAAATGATTCATTTTAATAAACCTTGACTCTTTAATACATGTCTTTTTTAATAGTCTGTGATGAAATGGGAAGTACACATGGTGTACTTCTGCACCAAGTGGGAGTGTCTGCTCTAGGGAAAACACAAGCTAAACTAGCCATTTTTTCCATGGAACACCAGAAGGCCTAATAGACAAACTATAGTTATTCAGATCTAGGTTTCTGACAGACATTTTCTTGAAGATGAACAGTGTGAGCCCATCTCTTCAGTGGAAACAATGGATGGTATTTGTTGATAATGAATATTTGAGCTTTTCAAGTAAAAATTGTAATTTTGGAAAACTTGTTTCTGTCAGTATGAGTTTGACAGCTTCCTAATTTTTTGATAAGATCAATGGTAATATTTTTGTGATTTAAAAAATAATATATGATATGCATCAACATTTGGAAGATCTGTATAACTCAGTGAACCAACATTTTTGAAATGATCAATGCATGATGTTACAAAATGACTGGGTAAAAAGTCCATTCAAGGACAAATGTTGACTACCATTTTAATACAACAGAGTACAAAAAGTTCATTGATAAAATTTTAGATTCCACACTGCTAGCCTCAAAGAAATTACAATGATTTGAAAAGGCTAAAATTTTAAAAAATGCTTGTCCCTTTTCCATTCACATCTGTGTGGTGTTGGATTTTCTTCATATATTTTAACCCAAACAACATATCACAACAGATTGAGGGCAGAAATAGATATAAGAATCTAGCTGGATGCCACTAAGCTAAATATTTTTTTTTTAATTTCAAAAACTGTAAACCAATGCCACCCTTTTCACTAAATTTCTTTTGGAAAATATTGTTATTACTCATCAAATATATTTATGTTAACGGTGTGATGTGTTAACTCAGAGGGTGTTTTTTTGGATGAGATTAACATCTAATCAATGAACTTTTAAGTACAGCAGATTGCCCTCCATAATGTGGGTGGGCCTCATCCAATCAGTTGAAGGCTTGACTAGAACGAAAAGCCAGCCTCCTCAAGCAAGATGGAATTCTCCTGCAAACTGCCTTCAAACTTCATCTGATAAAGAATGAGTAGGAATTTAGCCAGAAAAGGGATATAGGAAACTGCGGGGGTGGGGAAACATTATCTGTGAAGGCTCAGAGGTAAGAAAGCATGGTGCATTGAAGTCACCACAAAAGTTTCTGTGTACTGCATGGAGAAGCATAAGAGAGGAAGCTTGGGGGTAAGACAGCAAACAATAAAGGAGTTTGGAGTTGTCGAGTTTGTTTTTTTTTGTTTTTGTTTTTGGTTTGTTTTTGGCCCTGCCATGTGGCTTGCAGGGATCTTAGTTCCCCGACCAGGGATCAAACCCATGTCCCCTGCATTGGGAGCACGGAGTCTTAACCACTGGACCGCCAGGGAAGTCCCTGGAGTTGAGTTTGGAGATGAAAAGTGACAAGGTGAATTCTGGACTTTGGACTAAGCAACCTGATAAATGAGAGGAAAGAGATGTGACAGGGGGCAAGAACTGAGCTGTTATCACAGTCCAGGGGAGAGAGAATTTAAATTAGGATCGTGATAATTTGGATGGAGACATGGGTGGATTTAAGGTTTTTAGGTGATAGAATCTCCAGACTTGACACAGGGTTGTATGTGGGTAGTGAGAGAGCAAGAGTTAAGGATTATTTCTGGATTTCTGGATCAGGCAACTGAATAGATGAATGAAGTCATCCGTGGAAACTGGAAACACTGAAAAAACAGTAGGGAACTATGAGTTCAAGACACATTGAGTTTACCAAAGTGTAGTTGTCCAGTAGGTAGCTAGATGTACTGGCTTGTAACTCAGGGGAGGAGTCCAAGCTGCAAGTACAGATTCGGCAGTCATTAGCCATAGCTGGCTATTTAGGTCCTGGGGGAAGCTTAAATTGAACAGGGAACATGAGATCAAGCCCTGGGAAGTAAGTCTTCCTTCCAAAAGATAATACAAGAACTACCGTTTCACGGTTTCTTTAGTACTTTCTGCGTCATTCTCAGCAACTTGGAGGAAGCGTCTATGCCCGCCGGCACAGAGATGTTCGACAAGCAGGGCCAGAACAGCTGCCGTAGCTGTTACAGAAAACTGAGAAAGGCTCCAACGGTTGGAAAAACAAGGTCAACAGCCGTTGCTCCTCGGAGGACGAAATCAATTCCCGGATGGTGGCGAAAGCCGGCCCACGGGGAAATTCGGGCGGGTGGGCTGCACCCGAACTTGTTGCTATGGAGATGGGGCGGATTAAAGTGGCCGAACGAGATTATTCGAAAGGGACACCAACGGTGAAAGGACTAAAAAAAGGGCGATGCCGGAAAAGGTAGTTATCTGGAAACAGACACGGAGGTTGAAACAGGCAGCCCTGCGACGTCCGGTCGCTTGTGTTCCGGTCCATTTGTACACAAAGAGGGACCGGGCTCCGCTCGCCGGAAGTAGAACCTCTGCCCCCGGCGCATTACGCATCCTCCGCGCCGGAAGAGCGCCCCGCTCGGTCCGGCCGCTTCCCCCACCGCCCAGCAGGAGGGGCGGCTGGGCCGCCGGGCTGTGCAGCCGGGAGTTGTCGGCAGCGCGGAACTTCGGCGCACGAGGAGCCAAGGAGCGACCTGCGTTGCCGGGAGAGGGAGGGGGAAGGAAGGTCGCGTAGCGGGGCGACACGTCGCTGCGGAGGGATCCTGTTTCTGTTGGCGGAGGGATTTGGTCGCACGCTGACTTCCGGTGAGCCCCGATCCGAGAGGAAAAGCCCCGAAGGAAACAATAACAAACGCAGGAGGAAGCGGTTTTGGGGTTCGTGTGTTGAGCGGCTCTCGCCCGAGAAGATGAGCTTCGGCCCCCGTCAGGGGACGTGAGCGCGATCGCCGGGCCCCAGCCAGCGTTTCTCCCCGTGGGCCCCCGGTGCCACCATGGCGGCCGTGGGGCCGGGGGGCTACGCGGCGGAGTTCGTGCCGCCTCCGGAGTGCCCGGTCTTTGAGCCCAGCTGGGAGGAGTTCACAGACCCGCTCAGCTTCATCGGCCGCATCCGGCCCCTGGCGGAGAAAACCGGCATCTGCAAAATCCGACCGCCCAAGGTACTGGAGTCTGATCGGCTTAGCTCGACTTCCCGGTCCGCTGCCCTTTCGCGTTCGCTCGCACTGGCCTCTCGACACCTGGACTTTAAGTTTCTCCGTGTTTCCGCTTTGGTTTCTTTGGGGTCTTCGGTAGGCACGTCTGGACGCGAGAGTCGTGTCCCGGGGCCTATCCGCCAAGAGCTTGGGAACTGATACTTTTCTTCCCCTCTTGGGTTGTGGGCAAGGGTAACAAAGGCTTTCGGCCTTTCTTTGGCCGTAAAGTGACTGAAGTATCGTGACGTGACAGCCCTACCCTCGCGTATAATCCTCGTTACAGTGCGATAGGAAAAACTGCCGTTCCGTCGGCCCTTGCTTTCTCCTAGCCCTGCTGACGCTTGATTTATTAAGTATCTGCAGGCCTCATCTCAGGGCTAAGGTTTCTTAAATGGTAATCTGAGCTCTAGTTGTCCCTTGGGGTGGTATTCCCAGACAAGCACCCCAGACTGATTACTGCGGCAGTGAAAAAAAGTCTTCCCGGGGGAGGAGAAGGAAAAAGCAGCAATTATTTTAAACATTTAGAGGTTTAGAAAAAATTTGTCAATAATGGAGGTGGAAGAAAACGTTGAAATCTTAAAAACGTAAGAATCGCAGTTATTGCACGTAACTGGGTTTGCCTCTGGGTTAGTTAGGATCCTGTCTTTACGGTGAGGAAAGCTGATACTACTCTTTGTTTTGCGGGGATTAGTGCCCCAAGAGGTTGAGGGTTTGCTCAAGGTCAAAGGTTTTTTCTCTACCCGTTAGGTCCAGTGCTTTCCAAATGATGTTCCTGGTCCACCTGCACTAGGGTCGACCGGATGCTTGTGAAAATGCAGATCCCTAGGCCTCATTCCCAGACTGGAATCAGTTTCGGGATATGGAAGTTCTAGAAACTGCTTTTCTAGCAAGTACTCTCCTGATTCTTAATGAACATTAAAGTTTGTGAACCATGTCTTAGTGCTCTTTAAAGGGATATCTTGCTTTATGTTTTGTCTACTAGTAATAAAATAAAATCCAGTCTTTTTACACCTTGTTGCATTTTAAAAAGCTCTCACCGCAAACTAGCACAGAAGTGTGCAAACTACCACAGTGAATAAAAAGAGCTTAGATGGAGGGGGGAGGAGGAGCAGTTAGTGTAGCATTTACAGACGTTTTCATTTAATATTCTTTGAAGCCTCAGTAAGTAAATAAGGTCATTTTACAGATGAGACAAGTCTGGATAAGTTAAATAACTTATCAGATGTGTGATCTTGGGCAATGGCACAGTAGATTTTGAATCTAGAGCAATCTATTTGTTTCTAAAACTTAGGCAAGCTACTTCCCTTATGCTCATTGAATTTGATTAAGATTATAGACTATCAGTTGCAAGCAAAGGATTAACAAATAATTGCTATGATGAGTGGCGGGTGGTGCGTGTATTGGCATCCTCCCCAAAGTTCACTTAACTCTTATGAAAAATTTATTTTCACTTAATTCTTTTTCTGTCAAGATTACCTGATATTGACAAAACCTTAAGCACTGAGGCTTTTCCTAAACCATATTTTCATTTATTCTGTTGCTTTAATGAATTAGAAATTCTATACAAGGTTCCTTTTAGTTTAAAAATATATATATATGTATAGCTTTTTGTTACTTACAAAAGGTTGAAATAATATACCTTCTCTTTGTGTCACAATATTATTATTGAAAATAAATGTTGTTTACAAGCAGAATTTAATTTCAATGTTGGTGGATTTCTTTAGTTTCCAAGGTAAGATAAAAATTTTTTACTACTTTTCACATTTTTAAGTAGATTACTATTTAGGCTAAATCAAACTATGGTCTCTGGAACTCTACTTGAAATGTGCTGTCTCATTTCAGTTATACCACATCTCCAATCTGTAAATTGTCCTTGTTCTGTGGGTTTGCTATTTTTTAAAAAATTTTAATATTGAAAAAAAAATTTGGGTGCCCAGAAGCTGGGCTTTGAACAAAACATTTATATAACATAGACTTTAAAGTGCTGTGTCACATTCCACATGAATGAAAAAACACATTGTCCAATTACATAAGTACTTTTAAAACATTACCTTTTGGTCTTTAATTTTACCTTTTTTTGTTTCTTTCAAATTCTGTTTTTATTTTGATAAACTTGGATGTTTACTAGATGGTGTATTGAGATGAGCTTATTGCATTCCACTTGAGTAATTGGGGAAAGCGTAATTGTCAGATATAAATAATGGGACTGTGAGATTTGAGGAGAAAATTGATAAAATAAGCCTAGTATTAGAATGTTAGAGATAAGTAATAATAAATTATTTTATCTAAAAAATATTATTTTTTCAGTCTCTAACTAAAGAAGACTTGTAAGTTGATCTGTTGTCAACATGATTTGTGGCAACTCACCCCTTAAATTAAGGGAATGAATAGTGCATTCCTTGCTTATTAACCAACATGGTGAAGAAATTTTTTCTATTTAGGATTGGCAGCCTCCATTTGCATGTGAAGTAAAAAGCTTCCGTTTTACTCCCAGAGTCCAGCGTCTGAATGAACTTGAGGTGAGTGTTGTTACATCACCGTTTCTGTCTCCTGATCTATTCTTTATATCAGGACTCCAGGTAGAGAACTTTAAGAAGCTCATGTACCAGGGCTCAAAATTAATGTTAATTGGGACTGAATGGAAGGAAGTTTCCGATTTAAAAAAATTGTTTATAGTAGTTATTACAGTTTCTTCTGCTTAACTGGGATTTTGGGACACTATCTCTAGCCATGTTTTTCATGGTGGAAATATCCAGTATTTAGCTTTAGAGAACTGGAATTCTTAAATTCTACTTTCTTCAGTGCTAATTATTCTAATAAATTTTTCTTTTGTTAATGTTGGAGGATTCTGTATCTTGTAGTCTTTGGAAAACAGTTTTAAAAATTCTTCTATTATAAAAACCTAGTTTTCCAAGGTGCTTTTTGTATGTTTGTTTGGTTTTTTGCTCTAACAGAACTTTTCTAGGACTCTTAATCTGATTTATTAAGATCTCCCTTTAAACATTTTGAATGCCTCTTAAATTTCTAAGTTGAAATCTGTTTAGATAGTTGTTCTTCCTGTTTTTGAGATTTTCAGAAGATTCTTCAATGTGGTAAAAAACTTCCAGAGTACAAAAGAGAAATCTTAGACAGTTAGGGCTTAATGTGTCATGCTGAGTTTGTTTTTTTTCCTTGCTGCTCCTAAAACATTTATTTTTTGAGATTTTAATACCTTTTTTTTTTCCTTTAGTCTCTTATAAGATACTTGATGGAGGATCTTAATATCAGTGAGGTGGAGAGTTGGTGTACTTGAAGTATGCCTATTATCTCTAGATGAAGTGACAGGTTTAGAATGGTTAGAAAATGCTTAGAGAAAATAATTCGATTTACTAAATTTTCTGATTAGCTTAAAGTTAACTTTTACAAAAAATTGCTTTGGTTGATAATATGAGAACTCTTCACATATATTAGAGTAACTTTTTTGTCTTAGTAAAGTTTAATAGAAGTATTTTGCTTCTTTTTTATTGACTTACAAGGTTGGACTAAGCAGTAATGAGAAGTCTGAATTCTTTAAAGAAATGAGTACCTTTGTTAAGTAAAACTCATTTACTTTCACCAAAACGTAATTCCTGTCTCTCATTTCTGTATTTTAATAATCTCAGGCAATGACCAGAGTGAGATTGGACTTCTTGGATCAACTAGCAAAATTTTGGGAGCTTCAGGGGTCTACCCTCAAGATCCCTGTGGTGGAGAGAAAAATTCTGGATCTCTATGCTTTAAGCAAGGTGAGGCTTGTACTTTGTTAAGAAATTGAACAGGGGCTAGTGAATTTATGAAGTTAGGGATTTCAGATATACTTGATGGAAAACATCGCTTCCTATGTAGGATTTGTTTGACAATGAAATGCAAGCATGAGTAAATGGAAATGATAGATTTCCAAGTTATTTTTAAAATCTATTTTATAGTTTGTTACGAGATTAATATTTAATAGCTACTCAGATTAGTAGGTTCTGTTTACACAGTATGCAAAAGAAATGACACAGACATCCTAATATTATTTTGTATGAAATGAACAATGTCCTATATTGAGCTTGTCAGCTTTTTTTCTGCTTCTTAATTGAAAATTTGGTATATTAAAGAGATTAATGTCACTCAGCATTCTCATGTGTGGTACATACCAGTTGTATTAATACCTGTAAGTAGTGTTAGTGGTAAACTGAGGGCAGCATTATCCAGTAGGATGAATATTAACTTTGTAATGTTACGTTCCTTAATGTGAAAAAAACTAACTGACCTGCAACAGGGTTTGTAATGATGACCTTGACAACGTATTTTGTTAATACAATAAGAAAAATCTATGACTGCTCTGACTTGTGAATGAAGATAGCTTGATTATCTGAGGAATTTTGCAGAACAATTTATTTTTTATGTATTTATTTATGTACGTATTTATTTATTTATGGCTGCGTTGGGTCTTTGTTGCTGCGCGTGGGCTTTCTCTAGTTGCGGCGAGCGGGGGCTACTCTTCGTTGCGGTGCATGGGCTCCTCATTGCGGTGGCTTCTCTTGTTGCGGAGCATGGGCTCTCGGCGCGTGGGCTTCAGTAGTTGTACCTGGCGGGCTCAGTAGTTGTGGCTTGTGGGCTCTAGAGCGCAGGCTTCAGTAGTTGTGGTGCGCAGGCTCAGTAGTTGTGGCGCACGGGCTCTAGAGCGTAGGCTCAGTAGTTGTGGCACACGGGCTTAGTTGCTCTGCGGCATGTGGGATCTTCCTGGACCAGGGCTCGAACCCATGTACCTTGTATTGGCAGGCAGATTCTTAACCACTGTGCTACCAGGGATGTCCCAAAACAACTTATTTTTGTGGCCTTTCATATGCTATGATTGATAGGCTGTTTTGAAGTAAAAATTTATTCTCACTTTAGGAAGCTTCCACTTTCAAGGAAAAAAAACGCTAGAATAATTATATTTAAATTATTTTTTATGATACATTTAAAAATTAATGTCAGGTCAGAATTCTCTAGAATTTTTCTTTTATGTAGTACTAAGCATTTTGGAAAGTACAGTCTTACGCTAAAATAGCAGTGCTAGGCTTATTTTATCAGTAAGGTAATGATATCAGTAATTAAGGACTGTGAAAATCATCTCATGCAGTTGTATAAAAAAACTATGATACTGGGGCTTCCCTGGTGGCACAGTGGTTGAGAGTCTGCCTGGCGATGCAGGGGACACGGGTTTGTGCCCCGGTCCGGGAGGAGGATCCCACATGCCGCGGAGCGGCTGGGCCTGTGAGCCATGGCCGCTGAGCCTGTGCGTCCGGAGCCTGTGCTCCGCAATGGGAAGAGGTCACGGCGGTGAGAGGCCCACGTACCAAAACAAACAAATAAACAAACAAAAAAACTATGATACCAACGGGCAAATTATAGTGAATTTGAGGGATAGGTTTTTGTCTTGTAGGAAACCATTAGGATAAAAAATTTGTTTTGAGAATTCTCTTTTTTGACATTTCTGTTCAGTGAAAACTTACCTACTAACTTTTTTTTGGCTGCATTGGGTCTTCATTGCTGCGCGCGGGCTTTTCTCTAATTGCTGCAAGCGGGGGCTACTCTTCATTGTTGTGCGTGGGCTCCTCATTGCGGTGGCTTCTCTTGTGGAGCACGGGCTCTAGGCGCGCGGGCTTCAGTAGTTGTGGCTCGCGGGCTTAGTTGCTACGTGGCATGTGGGATCTTCCCGGACCAGGGCTCCAACCTGTGTCCCCTGCATTGGCAGGTGGATTCTTTTTTTGCGGTACGCGGGCCGCTCACTGCTGTGGCCTCTCCCGTTGCGGAGCGCAGGCTCAGCGGCCATGGCTCACGGGCCTAGCCGCTCTGCGGCATGTGGGATCTTCCCAGACTGGGGCACAAACCCGCGTCCCCTGTATCGGCAGGCGGACTCCCAACCACTGCGCCACCAGGGAAGCCCTGAAAAATAAATTTTTTTCTCTGCATGATTTTCCCCTGGTTGGCTCTCATTAACAGAGGGAGCTTCTTTGAGGATGTAATAAGAAAAGCTAAAGAATTGAAGATGGGTTCCACTCCTGTGCACATGAACTTCTGTGTTTCTATCAAGCTTTCAGATACTTCACTAGAGGAGAATTTTCCTTTGGCTGTAGTTTCATCTTTGCTATAATAAAATCCTAAGCACAATAGTAGAAAACGTGTCCTTTACTTATTTATAGCATGTATATTCTCCCCCCAACCCCCAACTTGCCCCCCACACAGACATTTATAATACAGCCAACATTGATACAGTGTTTACTGTGTCCTGGTGCCATCCATTCATTCATTCATTTTGGCTGTGCTGTGTCTTAGTTGCCGCACACGGGATCTTCGTTGCTGCACGTGGAATCTTTGTTGCGGCGTGCGAACTCTTAGTTGCGGCATGCATGTGGGATCTAGTTCCCCGACCAGCAATCAACCCGGGCCCCCTGCATTGGGAGCGTGGAGTCTTAACCACTGCACCACCAGGGAAGTCCCTGTTCTGGTGCTTTTCATGTTTTAATTTGTCTTCACAGCAGCCTCATAATAAGGAATAGATACTGTTATTATTACTCTTTTAATAATGGTGAAGAGTCTGAGATGCAAATTATGTAACTTACCCAAGGTCATACAGCTACTGAGTTAGCAGAGCTGGGATTTGAACTCTGGTAATCTGGCTCTGGAGTCCATACTCTTAGCCTTTAAAAAAAAGTTGTGGTGAAACGTACGTAACTGTTTACTGCTTTTCAGTGTACAATCTTATGGCCTTAGATATTTTCAAAGTGTTGTACAACCATCACTACTGTCCATTTCCAGAACTTTCCCCTCCCTGTAGCACCTGGTAAAACCATTATCATACTTTCTATGAATTTACTTATGCTAGGTTATCTCATTTAAATGGGATCATACAATATTCATCTTTTTGTGTTTGTGTTATTTCACTTAGCATAATGTTTTCAGGGTTCATCCATGTTGTCACATGTATCAGAGTTTCATCCATTTTTAAGGCTGAATAATATTCCACGTATGCCTTTACCACATTTTTTTTATCCGTTCATCTCTTGATGGATATTTGGGTTGTTTCTACCTTTTGGCTATTGTGAATAATGCTCCTGTGAACACTGGTATGCAAGTACTGTTTGAATCCCTGCTGTCAGTTCTTTTGGCTATCTCCCTAGAGGTGGAATTGCTGGGTCATATGGTAATTCTGTTTAATTTTTCTCTTAACTTTCTGATATAGTAGAATACAGTAGTGTACACTCAAAGAGGAAAAGTTTTTTGAATTCAAATAACTTAATCACACTCTTTATTCTGTCATCAGTGAAACTGAAAACTGCCTATATTTTAGAATGTGAGAGATGTACATATCAGTTTCTGGAAGATGGGGGCCTGGGTACATGTCTGTTCTATACTGTGGCTGGTTTGATGTGAGCATTCAGCAAAAATTGGCCACTTTATCCCATTACTTCCTACCTTAATACATTCTGTGCTATGTTCTAGTACATCTCCGGAATTTATTTTTCCCCATCATTTCTTTATAATATTCTGTGTAAAACCTTTCTCTTTTTGAAAAATTATAGCCTCTTTTTCAAAATATCCTCTGAATCCACTGTTTGTTTGACATTTTTGTTAAATCCTGTAAGTTAGTTGCTATATTTTCTAGTATCGGGATTTACATTCACTTTATATTATATAATAACATTCACATGTCTAGGTCTGTTTTTAATTTTTATTTATATTTTGAATTCCATGTGGATATAGAGTACATGCATGTATTTAATTTTCTCAAGGTGCATAGTGTGCAAAGCATAAATTCATTAAATATTTTTGAATGCTTGGTTCGTTGAAGGTACGCACAGTGACCAGTAATAGAGTTTAAAACTTCCAAAAGTTATTGTCTCTTTTCCATACTTTAAATGTTGATGAGTTTCAATTTTGTCACATATTTCTTGAAAGGAAATTTAAAATCTAGGCCCAGAATAATTTTTCCATTTAGCAGACAAGATGTAGAGTCAGAATACATGAATCTACCTCTTTCCCTAAATAATTTTTACTTTCTTTTCAGATTGTTGCCAGCAAAGGTGGTTTTGAAATGGTCACCAAAGAGAAGAAATGGTCTAAAGTGGGTAGCCGCTTGGGCTATCTGCCAGGAAAAGGAACTGGGTCTCTTTTGAAGTCACATTATGAAAGAATTCTCTACCCATATGAGCTTTTCCAGTCTGGTGTCAGCCTTATGGTGAGATGCATCACTTTTTTTAGGAGTGGATAAATGGCAAATTATATATCTGCCATATATAAACTTTAGATTGTTTACTATAACAAGATAGCAATTGGCTATGATTTCACCAGGTACTGAAATTTGGGGGGAGCAACGTGTAGTTTAAAAATCACAGCTATTTTTGGTGGTTTACAAGATAAAGGCTAATGGGAATGAAGAAAGTTTTCTTATTAAAATGTGTAAGCTTATGCAAGACTTACGCTTTTAAAAAAATTCCTCCACTTGGTTTCATGTATTTTTTTTTTGAACAGCTTTATTGAGGTATAATTTACATACTACAGAATTCACCCATTATAGGTACACAGTCAATAAGCTTTAGTAAATTATACATTTATGCAACTATCATCACCATCCAGTTTTAGAACACTTCCATCAGCCCCAAAAATTCCTTTGTGTTTGTTTATAGCTGGTTCTTCTACCCTCAAACCTGGACGACAACTGATCTGCTTTCTGGCTCTATAGTTTTGCCTTTTCTAGAAATTTCACGTACATGGAATCATACAGTATGATTTTGTGTATGGCTTTTTTCACTTAGCCTAATGTTTTTAAGGTTCATCTATGTTTTAGTATTCGTACTTCATTCCTCTTTATGGCTGAATAATATTCTATTGTATGGATATACCACATTTGTTTATTCATTTATCACTTATGGACATTTGGATTGTTTCCAGTTTATGGCTGTTATGAATAATGCTATGAATATTCATGTACTAGTCTTTGTGTGGACATACGTTTTCATTTCTCTTGGGTAGATACCTAGGAGTGGAATTGCTGGGTTATACGGTAAGTTTATGTTTAACTTTTTAAGAAACTGTCGAACTGTATTCCAAAGTGGCTGAACCATTTTACATTCCCGCCAGTAATGTAGAGGCTTCCAGTTTCTGCACATCTTTGCCAACACTTGGTATTGTCAGTTTTTTTGCTTACAGCCTTTCTAGTGGGTGTGTAGTGGTATCTCATTGTGGTTTTAATTTTATTTCCCTAATGACTAATGGTGTTGTGTATCTTCTCATGTGTATATTAGTCATTTGTATATCTTCCTTGATGAACTGTCTGCTCAAATCTTTTTTTATTGGGTTGTCAGTCATTTTATACTTGTTTTAAGATTTTGCTAAATAGTCTGGATATAAGTCCTTTATCAGATGTATGATTTTATAAATATTTTCCTTTAGTTTGTGGTTTGTCTTTTCACTTTTATAATGGTGTCTGTTTGAAGAGTAATCTGTTGATTTTCTCCCTTTTTATGGATTGTGCTTCTGTTATCATATCTAAGAAAATCTTTTCTTCACCTAAGGCCAAGGTGTTTGTTTTTTTATAGTTTTAGCTTTTATGTTTAGGTCTGTGACCCATTTTGAGTCGTTTTTTTGTGTATAGTCTGAGTTAAAGGTATAAGTTCATTTTGGGGGGCAGTGGAGAGGGGGTATAGGAATATCCAATTGTTCCAGCACCATTTGTTAAAAGACTACCCTTCTCCCATTTACCTTACCAAGGTGATTTACCTTGGCACCTTTGTTGAGAATCAGTTGACTATAAATATGTGGGTTTATTTCTAGTCTGTTTTGTTCTTTGTTTGATCTGTTTTACCCTAACACCAATACTGTGCTGTTTTGAGTACCATAGCTTTATAGTAAGTTTAGATATCTGGTAGTGTAAGTCCTCCAGCTTGGGTCTTTTTTCAAAATTTCCAAACAATTTGCATTTCCACATAAATTTTGGGATCCACTTCTCAATTTCTACAACAAAAGCCTGCTAGGATTTTGATAGGGATTGTCTTGAATCTATAGATCAGTTTGGTGGGAGAATTGTCATCTGGTTTCATGTAGTTTTAGGGATTTTTTAGAAATTTATTATTTTTCTCCTTATTCTCAAATCTGATTTCTTATAAGTGAATCTGCCCTCTTCCTGTGCTCTCAATTCTTTAGGGTGTACAAATGCCTAATTTAGATCTTAAGGAAAAAGTGGAGCCTGAGGTTCTTGGCACTGATGTCCAAACTCCCCCAGAGCCGGGCACAAGAGTGAACATTCTGCCGAAGAGAACAAGGCGTGTCAAGTCTCAGGTATCAGTTTCCATGGGCCGCTTTTGACAGGCGTTTCTAGAGTGTTGACTGTGCAGAACACTTAGTTGGCTCTGGGAGGTCATTCACGTGCTGCCGTGCTTTAAAACTCGGAGACGCGTTTCCATATACCTTTGAGATGAACGAGGAATGGATTGTAAACTTCAGTCTGATTTGATTTAGAGAGTTCTTTGTTAATTTTGAACAGCTATGACAGGGGTGGCGGTTCAGAGAGTGACTCTGGATACTGTAGGGCCAATTTCATAGACATGCTGATGAATTCTAGTATATTTTATTTTCGTGGTTAGTATAAGTGAGAAGAATAGGAAAGAGTGGTTTTATCTTTACTCATCATTCCTTTAAAAACCAGTGGGTAAGTTTCTTAGTCTCCGAACCATTCCAGTGTAATTTCTACAGTGTTCTTGTGACCTGGAATAATTTTAAAGCCTAATGAATACATCGGAAGAAAAATGCCCTAATTTCTTTTTGTCTGCCCCTCTTCCCCTCCACCTTTTTCCTATTCCCATTTCTTTGTGGTCCTCGAAGTTGTGTTTCTAAAGGTTTTTGGTAAAGACAATCTGTAGGCTGGGGAGAGTGAGGTGCCCTTAGGACTCTTGAGATATGGCCCATTTAAATTAACATATGGGTGAACTGGAACAGCAGCTTTTCTGGGTCCTAAACACATTTAAGGATGGAAGTGGTTCACATGGAAAGTGGGTTCACTATTAACAAGAGATACTGGATCTGGGGTTGTGAGGAGTCCTGTCACTGTAGAGGCAGGCTAATGATACTTCATCTTGCTTTTCTGTAGCTCAGGGGATATGTCTCTTTCATGCCATGTCTACTTTCCTTGTTCTGAGTTTATGCTCGCTAAATAACCTCCTGATTAATAATTTAGCTTCTTAGGTACTCTGATAGCAGAAAGGTAGGTGTCTTGAATGGGGCATGTGAATTTAATGGAAATTTTTGGAAAATGATAGCTCTATTTTATTTTTTTTAATTTTTAAATTTATTTATTTTTTTTGACTGCATCGGGTCTTCATTGCTGCGCGCGGGCTTTCTCTAATTGCGGCGATCGGGGGCTACTCTTCGTTGTGGTGCACGGGCTTCTCGTTGTGGTGGCTTCCGTGGTTGCGGAGCACGGGCTCTAGGCGCGTGGGCTTCAGTAGTTGCAGCACTTGGGCTCAGTAGTTGCAGCACGCAGGCCCTAGAGCATGCGGGCTTCAGTAGTTGTGGCTCGCGGGCTCTAGAGTGCAGGCTCAGTAGCGGTGGCACACTGGCTTAGCTGCTCTGTGGCATATGGGATCTTCCCGGACCAGGGCTCGAACCCGTGTCCCTTGAATTGGCAGGTGGATTCTTAACCACTGCACCACCAGGGAAGTCCCAATAGCTCTATTTTAAATTAGTAAACTCTGGTTTAGTTGTTAAGTGATTTTTATTACTGTGGTTGATCTCAGAAGTTCTGACCGTCTTTGGGTATATAGTGAAGATTCTGTCTTAAGACCTGAAATACTTGAATACTAGTCTCTTTGACATGGTGACTCAACTTTGAAGAGTTGCCCCAGGTGGGCCCATTTAATCAGTTGCCAGCTTGTGATGAAATCCCTTGATGTTCCTTCTGAAACCATGAAAAAAAAGTCCTGCTTATTTCTGATTGCCTTTCATCAGATTATATAATGATTGCCATTCATTATGTAAGAATAGGGACTACACAGAATACTTTTACCCATTGCAGTAATTGTTGCTGTAGTCAGATTGATTGATATTAGATTGATATTAGAACCATTTGAGGATTTGCAATTAAGAATTTCTTCAACTTGCAGTTTGTCCTTAATTAATATTGCCAGTCTGCCTCATTCCTAGTCTTCTATTTCAGAAAGACAGTAAAGGCTTTCTGGTAGAACTTCAACCTCTTGCCCCATACATGAAACTATCTGGTGTTCATTCTTAATCTCTACCTATCTCTGTGGGCAGAGTGTGCCTTTTTCTCCAAGGGTAATCCTTCTACTCCCATCCTTCCCGGCTTTAAAAACAGAAGCCCTCTTCCTAGATAGTTCCTTACTCCTTGCCTCTTTTCATGAAGAAGTTCCCTGGAAAATCATCTATATTTTCTCAGTTTCCTCAGTATCTGTTTAGTTTTTAAACCCTGTAATCTGACTTTGAGCTAAATAATTTCCTTAAAACTACACTATTCAAGTTATCACAGAGTTAATAATTGTCAGATGCTGAGACCCCTTTTTCATTTCTTAACCTACTTCATCTCTGATCATGTTTGCATTTCTTGAAATTTGCTTTTTCTTTGGCTTCTGTGACACCTCTCTTCTCGTTTCCCTCGTCACTCTCTGACCACTCCTCAGTAATCTTTGTTATCTCTTCTCTCTGCCCTTCATGTAGTGCTCTCAGTCTTCCATATCTTCACTCTACCCAACTGTCTCTTCCACCCTGTGATTTGTTACTACCTATCTCTCAGGACTCCTAAATAAGTCATGACATCCGTGCTGCTTCCCTGTTCACCAGGGGTCTTGAGTGCATGTGTGTATATGTATGCCTTGGTGGCCACACACAGCTAAACTCAGTATGTCGCAAACATTATCACCTTTTCTAAATCTGTTTTTTTAAAAAATATTTTCTAGCTTGGTGATAGTGACAAGCACAGCCATCGAATAGTTTCCCAAACAAGAAATGGAAGTTAAGAAAGTTATCCTACTTCCCTTTCCCATCTCTATCACATCGCTTGATATACTCTGCTTTAGTTGTTTTTTTCTGTGACCTCACTAGAATGAGTTCCTTGAAAGCTGAGATTGCAGTTTGTTTATATCAAGAATGACCAAACCCTTAACACTTATACATTAGAATGCCAGTATGTCCCATTTTTGGTGACACTAAGTTTGAGCCAGCATTTCTTCATTATAGTGTACTGTTCTCCTTGTAATAAAAGTAATCACAGTAAACTATAAGACTGTGGGAATAACTTGTTTTCCATTAACTTTCCATTATTTTTCAATAACAATATTTCCATTATTCCATTAACTTGTTTTACCCAATAGTTTTAACATTCATTGATAATACTTGCCTCAGTTAATTATGTTGGTGGTTGCAAACCAGGTGATTTTCTGGTTCTGTCATTTCTTCTACGTTTATTAGTTAGCATTTTTCTTTAAAAAACTCTTCTCCCACGCTTGATTATTCTTCATACAGTAAAATGTGTATATCTTAAGTGTACAGTTTGATGAATTTTGATGAATGTATATTACCTGTGGAGCCAACTTTGAGTGTCCCTCCTCCTTTTTAGTCTCACTATAGAGCATGACTTTTTTGATAAATGTCTTATAACCTATTACTACTTTTTATTCCTTTTTGATACTCGAATTGTTCCAAATTTGGCCTACGGGAGCCCCTTCAAGAGGTTCATATGTTCTTTGACAAGTCTCCATCAGTTTTTTTTTGTTTTTTAATTAATTAATTTATTTATTTATTTTTGGCTGTGTTGGGTCTTCGTTGCTGTGCGCAGGCTTTCTCTAGTTGCGGCGAGCTGGGGCCACTCTTCATCGCAGTGTGCGGGCTTCTCACTGCCGTGGCCTCTCCCGTTGCGGAGCACAGACTCTAGACGCGCAGGCTCAGTAGTTGCGGCTCACGGGCTTAGTTGCTCCACAGCATGTGGGATCTTCCCAGACCAGGGCTCAAACCCATGTCCCCTGCATTGGCAGGCGGATTCTTAACCACTGCACCACCAGGGAAGCCCTCTCCATCAGTTTTTGAGCACTTACTTTCTAGCACAAAGAATCCCATTGTCTTCTTGCCGTGACTTAGACCTGGAATCAGCCATTTCTCCAAGGAATCCTGGTTCACTTTAGTGGGAAATGGTATTTAGAAGCCAAGATTTGAGCACAAGGTGTGCTTGTTCCTACTGGGATACCATTGCTTGTAGCCCCTTCTGGTGGTCAGGGCTGGGAAATCAATTTTTTAAAATTGTGACTTTATATTTTCAGCTCATACTGATAATTCCAGTCCTAATCCAGCATCACAAAGTTCTTTTGGTTTATGTTGTAATTGTTTTCTTAGCATTTTGAGTTGGGAACTTAATTCATTTATTCCTGCTCTTTTGCTTTGATTGCTGTGTTTAAGACTATAGAATTTCCTGTGATTACTTCTTTCCTTTGTTCCAGAGATTCTGATATATGATATATGTGATATATGTATATACAGAGAAAAAATTCCAGGTGGAAGGGCCTTTTGATTTTTTTTTGCGGTACGCGGGCCTCTCACTGTTGTGGCCTCTCCCGTTGTGGAGCACAGGCTCCGGATGCGCAGGCTCAGCGGCCATGGCTCACAGGCCCAGCCGCTCCACGGCATGTGGGATCCTCCCGGACCGGGGCACAAACCCGTGTCCCCTGCATCGGCAGGTGGCCTCTCAACCACTGCACCACCAGGGAAGCCCGGGCCTTTTGATTTTTGATGTTATTTCTAGCTTTATGCCAGTAAGATCAGAGAATGTTGTCATAGTATTTCCACTTTTGGGGACTTTATTGTCTGTCTGAAAAGGTGGTTGTAAGGATTAATTGACTAGAATACTTTGATATGGCATATACTATATACTCACTATGTTAGCTTTTATTACTATGTACTTTGCTTTAACAGTGGTAAAGAATGTGTAGTGTTAGGGGCTTCCCTGGTGGCGCAGTGGTTGGGAGTCCGCCTGCCGATGCAGGGGACGCGGGTTAGTGCCCTGGTCTGGGGGGGGGGGGTCCCACATGCCATGGAGCGGCTGGGCCCGTGAGCCATGGCTGCTGAGCCTGCGTGTCCAGAGCCTGTGCTCCGCAGCGGGAGAGGCCACAGCAGTGAGAGGCCCGTATACTGCCAAAAAAAAAAAAAAAAAAAAAAAAAGAGAATGTGTAGTGTTAATGTTTTTCATTGGACTGACTGTAGGTTAATATAACCAAGTCAGCCTACCAAAGTTTAAAGATACATTTTGAAATGCCATTTTGGTTGGTTTGGTTCTTATATGCTCTTTTAGTAGTCCAGGCTGCCTGTGTCTGTCTGCTGTTAGGTCGCCATAGACTTATAAAGTAGTCTGTATTTTATCCTGGTTTATTTTTATTCTTATCGACTAAGAATATTTTAAGTAAATTTTGGTTATTACCCTGCATTCAGAGATTATCTAAATTCAAGGTGTAACACTGGTGTCTGTCATGATGTCATCCTCAAGTACTAGAATGCCAAATGACAGTAGCTTAAACATTGACAACACAGTTTTCACATGCGGACACATTTTCCACATTAGATTTTCAGAGATAAGTAGTTCTAGGATTCGTATAGCTACTTCACATTGTCATCAAGGGCCAGGCTCTTTCCATCTTCCTGCCTGGCCTTCTTCAGTGTATGGGTGATATATGTATCTCCTCTTAGTTGCATTGTGGCTGCTGTAGCGTCCAGCGCTGTGCTTCCATCAGACCGAGTCTTGTAGCAGTGGGGAAGGAAGTTGGGTGAAAAGGACTTACTCTTTGAGATGCTTTCTCTTTTATTAGAAGATGAAAATCTTTCCCAGAGGTTTCCAGTAGACCTTCCTTATGTCTCACTGGCTAGAACACGATAGCATTCCCACCCTTAGCTAGGTGATCGCCAACAAAGAGAAATGGCATTGGCATGATTGACTTAGGACAGTCATTATTCATCTCCTAGGATGGGCATAATTGCCCTAATCAAAGATGGGTGTCCATTAGCAAGTTAGAAGTGGGCATTTCTATCGAGTTATTACCACTGTTACACCAGTAATTACCAGTAGTGTCTGTCTCTGGACAGAACCTAATTGACAACTATGCTTTTATGAAAGGTAGATTTTCTTTTGTGGAAAGGAATCTGGGTGTTGCAGAGCGCTTTGGTGACTTCAGCAATGAGGCAGCAAGTGGATTTAGAAAAATTAAAATTTTCCTTCATTTTGAATTGGATCTTGAGACTTTTCTTGGGTAAGAAAATAAATTTATGAATCACAATAATTAGACTAATGTGAGTTTATTTTTTTTAGTCAGAATCTGGAGAAGTGAATAGAAACACGGAACTGAAGAAACTTCGGATTTTTGGGGCTGGGCCTAAGGTTGTGGGCTTGGCAATGGGAGTAAAAGATAAAGAAGGTAAATCTGTTATTTGGTCATGAAAAGAAATAAGGTACAACAATATGGTTATAACAAGATTCATATGATACTGGATCGTAGTCTGCCTTGGGATTTTCTTAGGCAACATAGTTCCTAGACAGATCACCTTTTTAGTGACAGATAATCTTAAGGTGTGAGGAGCCATATTATGTTGAATTTTTGTAATATTTTGGAAGAGAGAAAGTTCCTCCTCCATGTCTAACACATGACACAGAAATTGTAGTTTCTAAAGGCTAGTTTATAAGAGAATTGCAAAATTAATGGCTCTCACCTGGTGATCTAAAGCTTATTATTTTTAAATTTAAAGAGAAATAGAGGATTTCTCTGACCTTTAGTATCAAAATATACTGGGGAGAGCTAATGATTTAGATTCTAACCATAATTTTGATATTTTTCTTTAATCACCTTTGCATATTATGACACTTCATTTAAGTAACCTGTTTAAAGAATGCCTAGTACTCAGCTTAGCATGTTAGAAGCTTTTGTGAGTAAAATTGCTAATGCGGAGATCAAGTTTCACAGTTCTATGTGCATGTTAGTTTTAAAGCTCAATTTAACAAAGATTGTGTTGGATATGTTTTTACTGTATAAGAATTTAATGAATTGCTATAATCACAAGTCATATTGATTACTGTGCATTTTATGATATGACTAAGTCTTTATTCAGATTGTGGGTTGAACTCTGGATAATCAGGTAATATTCTTCCATCATTCTCAAAGCATTCAGTGTGATAGGACTTCTAGATACATTATAATGTTTACTGTTGCTCTTTTAAAAGATTAAGGACTTTATCTTTTTTCTGTTTGTAATTGTATTAGCTGGCAGTGATCTCATAGCTAGTCCCAGATTAGCCCCTGATAAGTACTACATACGGGCAAGTGTAGAATTAGTAGTTACGCTCTCTGGAGCTTGATTGCCTGGACTAGAGTCCCAAGTCTGCCACTGACTGGCTGTGTGATTTTGGGCAAGTTATCTAGCTTCTCTGTGCTTCAGATTCTTTATCTTCAGTGGGGGATAATAGTTTATCTACCTCATAGTGTTGTGAGATTTTAACTAATTTAAATAATCTAAAATAGTGTCTGGTCCATGGTAAGCTCTCAACATTAGTTTTTACTATTATTATTATATAACTATTTTTATTTCAAGATGAGGTCTCCCGAAGACGAAAAGTTACCAACAGGTCAGACGCATTTAACATGCAAATGAGACAACGGAAAGGAACTCTCTCTGTTAACTTTGTAAGTGTTCTGAGATGTGTCAGGAGGGAAAGGATTTATTTTTATTTTAGTTTTGCACTTTTTACCTTGCTATATCTTAGTATGTTATCTAGTTAGTTTATTTAGTTGTAAGACTTGATGGTGCGTCTGAACTTGCAGCTTTGGTTTATATAATACTAACTTCGCTTTGTCCCATATACACAGACTGTTCCCTGAGTCTTATACCTTGTAAGTGAGTGAGTGAGAGGATGAAGTGAAACTGTAAATCCTTAGCTGTATTAATGCTCGGTATTCAGCCCTCTACCAATAAAGAGTATTTGTGTATAGAAAGGGTGATGTGGTATATTTTATTTATATAAATTGACTTTCAAGTACCCTAGATTTGTAGTGTAGTCTTCCTTTATTCTCATACCTTGATATGCTTTTATTAATTTGCTTGTAGAAGCTCTGAGGAAATTTAGGAAGTTTTATACAAAGTATTTAAATACAGTTATTTAAAATGAATATTAAGGATTTAAGTTATGTTTACTTTTTAGTGTACATTATTTTGTTTGTTTCAATTAAGGTGTTCGTGGTAAAAATTTAATATTACTTATTACAGAAAATAAACTTTTGTTTTTTTAACAGGTTGATCTTTACGTTTGTATGTTTTGTGGCCGGGGAAATAATGAAGATAAATTGCTGTTGTGTGATGGATGTGATGACAGCTATCATACATTTTGTTTAATTCCCCCACTACCTGATGTGCCCAAAGGAGACTGGAGGTGTCCTAAATGTGTCGCTGAGGTATAAGCCTAACCTTACCTTTTTGAATTAAGAACAGTAACACACACATACACATGTACAGTGAACACATTCTGTGAAGCTTCTTCTCCTGTCTCTTTGTTCTTCAGTGTTTGAAATCTCCAGGATTTTTAAAGAGTGATAGTGACTGGAAATGTAACAGTTTGTTTTTTAAAGGGTCTTTTTCTGACTGTTGGTTAGATAATTCTGTTTATTGCTGCAGACTTTGCTCAGAATATTCATATTCTTGGAAAACAATAAAAATGAAGAAGGTCTGTAGGTTATTTCTTTTTTCCTTTTTTTAAAAAGTAAAAATCAGACATGAAGCTCTAGAACTTAGGATTCATGCATCCAGTTTTCATGCTACCAAATAAACTGGTGGTATCTATTAACTTGTTTAAATTTTGACTTGATTGTACTAAATTGTTATTGAAAGATTATAATGATGTCATTATCATGAAATGTCTGGTCTGTTTTCTTATTTTAACAAAATGTGATAGGACGTTGGAGGGAAAGAGATGGTATATCTAGATGTAGTCAAAGATGGATATTTATGGCCTTTGAATTATTTATTTATTTATGGCTGTGTTGGGTCTTCGTTGCTGTGCGTGGGCTTTTCTCTGTTGCGGCGAGCGGGGGCTACTCTTCATTGTGGTGCACAGCCTTCTCATTGTGGTGGCTTCTCTTGTTGTGGAGCACGGGCTCTAGGCACACGGGCTTCAGTAGTTGTGGCTCGCGGGCTCAGCAGTTGTGGCTCGTGGGCTCTAGAGTGCAGGCTCAATAGTTGTGGCGCACAGGCTTAGTTGCCATGTGGCATGTGGGATCTTCCCGGACCAGGGATCGAACCCATGTCCCCTGTATTGGCAGGCGGATTCTTAACCACTTGTGCTACCAGGGAAGTCCCTTGAATTATTTTTTATTTATTATTCTCAAGGTTAGATGATTCAGTTCTACTCGAAGTCAGTATTTGTGTTAAGAAATTGGTCTTGGTGGTTGATAGTATGAAAAAAAATCATTTTTCTAGCTAATTATCCTAGCAACCCGGTGAATATCCCTCTGTCCTTTACCTTTCCTCCCTCCATGAACATTTATTTTTTCCACTGAGGATAATAGACATCCCTGGGCTTGATTCCAGGTTGGTAGTCCTCCAGGTGTTTGTCTTGGTGCCAAAGCTTAATGACAACTCCAAAGCCCAAAGCTGTCTCATTGCCACCTTCCTACTGGAAGGTGTGAAAATGCAGTTGAAGTTTAAGAACATTATTTCCTGATTCCACATTAATACTTGTTTTGCGGTCTAGAGTTGACTGGGTTTGCTTCACCTAGGGAAATGATCAAAGAAGGTAGTACCTGAGGGCCTTAATGCGTCCTTCAGTTCAGTTTCAGTAAGTTAATCTTAGATATTTTTTCTTCCCAGGAATGTAATAAACCTAGAGAAGCCTTTGGATTTGAACAAGCTGTACGAGAGTATACACTTCAGAGCTTTGGAGAGATGGCAGATAATTTTAAGTCTGACTATTTCAACATGCCAGTTCATGTGAGTATCTATCTTTTAGGTCACTTTGGGGAATATAAAAATTTATCTGATTCCAAAGCTTTTGCGTTGCTTTTTAAAAACTTTCATTATTTTGTAGAAAGCAGGGACAGCATAAAGAAGATGATAGAACACCAGATCTGAAGATTAGGGGCCTGGGATCTGTTTTTGTTTCTTTTACCCTCTGTCGTGGCAGTGTGCACTGTAGAGAAACCGACTTCGACCTTGCACTTGTTCTGCAGCGCCCTGGGAGCGCTGTCCTCTACAGGCAGGCACGGAGGGTGCGGCAGTTGCTGCTGTGGTTTAGTTATTTGTAGTATGAGGTTTGCTTCTTTCCCTGGGGGATCTTGGGCTTTAAAAAAATCCCTTTCGAAATAATTTGCCAAAGCTGTTAAAATTCAGCCTTGAGTTTTGTATTTCCTTTTCCTTCCTTATGTCCTGGGTCATCTTTATCCTTCTTAGTTGGAAAGCAGCTTGCAGAAGAAGGCAGTTCAAATTCATTATGTTTTTCTGAACATCTAAGTTGTCTTTAGCTTTTTCCCGTCGTCAGTCAGAAAAGCTAGGACTGCAGTCTTTTCAGCTCTGGGAATTGAGAAGGTTTTCTGTTTTTTCATGGGCTTTTGTTCACTTGACCTGTGTATTATGTCATAGTGGGTTATGGTTATAGAGAGTTGGTAATCTGTAATCTTTGTTTTCCCTGTGTAGATGGTTCCCACAGAACTAGTGGAGAAGGAATTCTGGCGGCTGGTGAGCAGCATTGAAGAAGATGTTATCGTAGAGTATGGAGCTGACATCTCCTCAAAAGACTTTGGAAGTGGATTTCCTGTAAAGGATGGTCGGAGAAAGATGCTGCCAGAAGAAGAGGTGCAGAGCACATAGTAGTATCCAGATTTCTTACCCTGAAGCTGATTCAGCCTTTACGTAGTAGAAAACTGCCTTTCTTTAATCTTAAGGGACCACGTTCATTTAAAATATTAAATATGTAGAATTTGGACAGTAAAAACAATCTTCAGTTTTGAAAACAATAAATTCAAAGTACCATTAAATATTATTTAACTTCGCATTTTATCAATTTTTTTTTTTTTTTTTTTTTGCCGTACGTGGGTCTCTCACTTGTTGTGGCCTCTCCCATCGCGGAGCACAGGCTCCGGATGCGCAGGCTCAGCGGCCATGGCTCACGGACCCAGCCACTCCGCTGCATGTGGGATCCCCCCGGACCGGGGCACGCACCTGCGTCCCTTGCAGGTGGGGAGGTGGACTCTAAACCACTGTGCCACCAGGGAAGCCCTTAACTTTGCATTTTAAAACCAGTTAAATTGGTTTAAAACTTTAACTTTAGTTAAGATTTTGCCTAGCTCTTTCTGTTTGGAAATCTAGCAAGTGACAAGATTTTTTTAAAAAATTACATTTTACTGGTAGGTCCACAATTAATTTTCCTTTAACACCTGGGCAGGTAGGTTTTCAAATATGCATTTAAACTGTAACAGATAATGAAGTACTGTCACCTAGGAGATGACCTCTGTGTGTAAACCTGAATTAAGATGATCATTTATTTCTTTTTCTCTTTACTTTGGTCCTTGTCACCTTTTCTTTACCTTTGTAATTGGCAGTAATTGAGAGTTTTATCTCCTATTAAAAGAGTTAACACATGGTCAAAAAAAAAAGTTACATAGTGGAGAAGGATATACAATTAAAAATATGGCCACTCTAGGTCTCTTAGGGCTACCATTGACATGGCATATCTTTTCCATTCTTTTACTTTGAAGCTGTTTGTATTTTGGAATCTGGTGTGTGTCTCTTATAGGCAGCATATGATTGAATCTTGCTTTTTTAAAAATCTAGCCTGAAGGCTGACTTATTTATTTATTTATTTATTTGTCTGTCTGTCTGTCTGCCTATTTAGCTAGCTAGCTAGCTAGCTAGTTAGCTGCGTTGGGTCTTTGTTGTTCCGCGTGGGCTTTTCTAGTTGCTGGGGGCTACTCTTTGTTGCGGTGCGCCGGCTTCTCATTGCGGTGCCTTCTCTTGCTGCAGAGTATGGGCTCTAGGCGCGTGGGCTTCAGTAGTTGCAGCACTTGGGCTCAGTAGTGCAGCTTGAGGACTCTAGGACACAGGCTCAGTAGTTGCGGCATGTGGGCTAAGTTGCCCTGTGGCATGTGGGATCTTCCTGGACCAGGGCTCAAATCCGTGTCCCCTGCACTGGCAGGCGGATTCTTAACCACTGTGCCACCAAGGAAACCCTATACAGATATATTTTATAGGAACAGTTCAGTGTTGAAATGTGTACATGTTCAATGTCACTGAATTAAAACCTGCTTTGTAGAAGTATAAAGAAATGCATCAACCTTAGTTTCTGCATACCCTTCCATTGGCAAATGGTAGGCAGTTACCTGCTTATTGGGAAGAGGCTTTGTTTTACAGCTTTTAACTTTTTCTGAATTTCATTTTGGTTTTGAATTTTTAAGTTGCTCTTGAACAGATATTTATATCTTCTAATCTTAAGAGATAAGGTCGCAGAGTTTTTCTTTTTTAATTTTTAAAATGTTTTATATATATATTTTTGCGGTACGCGGGCCTCTCACTGTCGTGGCCTCTCCCGTTGCGGAGCACAGGCTCCGGACGCGCAGGCTCAGCGGCCATGGCTCACGGGCCCAGCCGCTCCGCGGCACGTGGGATCCTCCCGGACCGGGGCACGAACCCGCGTCCCCTGCATCGGCAGGCGGACTCCCAGCCACTGCGCCACCAGGGGAGCCCCGAGGCGGGCCTTCTGAAGGGTGGCTGTCTCAGGCTTGCTCTGTTAAAGTAGCTTTTCTGGACACTAGCACTCTGTGCAGTCTCTCTCATGCATTGCTTTCAGTTAAAATTTTAAGATTGGTGGGCCTTGGGGAGTTCATTTTGCAGTTCTGTCTATTGTAGTTTGAAATTTTCCATAATCAAAAATTTTAAGATAAATATAAAAATATTTAAGATGTTTATCATATTGTTTCACTTTTCAAAATCTGTTTTATTTCCCTTTTGAATATAGGATATCATCCAAGCTTCTTAGTCTGAAATTTAAGGTTAAAGATCCAGTCTTCTTTTCTGGTCTTATTTCCTGCTTTTCTGAGTATGACCATTCCACTCTGCCTCTTTACCAGCCAGACCAGTATATTCTGTCTCTTGTCATTTACCTTCAAATCTTACCTAGTCTTCCAAGATCAACCCAGGTTTTTCCTTTTCCACCAAGTTTTCTTATTGATCCAGACTCATGATGATGACTATTTTGTTGTCCTCTGAAGAACTATATAATTTACTAATTTATCTGTCTTTGGAGTTTAATATATATTGTCTCATCTTGGAACTTTTTGTATGTAGGCCTGGTCTCTTCACCTAGTTTCAGTATTTGTTCAGCCAACTAAAAAATATATTGAGTAGTATTTTTGAAAACTGTTTTTTTTTTTTAAAGCCTATTGAGGGTAGGAATCATATCTCTTTATTATTCCGTATTGGGATTCCTAGTTAAACCTTTGTTGGAATTTCTTCTATCCTCTGTAACTCTTAGCTACACTTTTATAATTTCCTTATCTCTGTGCCGCATTATGGATGATATCCTCAAATCAGTCTTCTGGTTCACAGATTCTCCCTTCAGCTTTGTCACTGGCTATTTAACCTCTTAATTTGAGGGTTTTGTTTTTAACTCTGTATTATCGAAACTTTCAAATGTATAAAACTAAACATAGTAATGAACTTCCCTCCCTCCCTACCTGGCATCCAGGTTCAACAGTTATCAGCCTTCTAATAGAAGGCGGTTGGATTCTCTTACCTGTTTTTGCATTCAGTCTGTTGCAATATCACATCACATATGCTCTGGAAAACTCACACTACGTTTCTGCAAGAATGAGAGCGAAAAAGGCAAATAACATCTTAGAATTATTATGAATGTAGTTTGACTTTGCAGGTCCCCTGAAATAGGCTTGGGTTCCTTAGACCCCACTTTGAGGACTGCTCTGCACAAGGATAATAGCACTTTGAGTCTGTACCGCATACCGCTTCAGAGGTGGGTGTTTGAAACCCATGTCCGGAGCTTATGTCCGGTTAGAAACCGCTATGAAAACTCAGACAACAGCTTTCCGTTTTCATTCTGGCTGTGCTTTCTTTCTTTGTTTTTGGAAACTGCGAATTCTTTTTTCTCTTGAGTTCATCTATGAGGCAAAATTTTTTTTGATGTTGTAAATAGATGTGTTTGTGGGAGTTGGGGGTGCTTTCTGCACCATCTTGGTCTTCAGTGTTGCCACAGATTCAGGATTCTGTATCTTATTATGTTTTGTCTTCACAGTATCTGGCACCATTCTGTAAATATAGTGGTAAACATTTTGGGAAGTTATGTTACCGGGGATAAAGTCGAAATATAATAGCGACCTATTAAAATGAGTCTTACAGTATTTTACTGGTAAGCTATGGGGGCAGGTGGGGAGTAATAAAAAGCCTTATATGCTTCAGAGTAAACCAGAGATACCTGAAATAATTAAAGGGAAATATAAATAACACTTAGGAGATAGGATTAAATATTTAGGAATATGAGTTACATGTAGAGAGCAAAGAGCATAGATTCTATGGACTAGATTATTGTAATTATTATAAAATTTTTCCTTTTGTTTTTGAAGACTCCCTTGAGGTTTCTATTGGGCACTTGTCATTTCTGATCTCTTACTTACATTTTTTTCCTTTTGTAGGAATATGCGCTTTCTGGTTGGAACTTGAATAACATGCCTGTTCTAGAGCAGTCTGTTCTTGCACATATCAATGTGGACATCTCTGGCATGAAGGTGCCGTGGCTTTATGTGGGAATGTGCTTCTCTTCCTTTTGCTGGCACATCGAAGATCACTGGAGCTATTCCATCAACTACTTGCACTGGTGTGTACAGTCTTTGTTAACAGCACACATACTTAGTGACCTTTCTAAAGGTGTAACAGTGTTAGATGATGTGTTAGGGAGAGCTTACTTGAAAGTATTTTGTACCCCAAAGTTGGATAATGTACTGTGTAGAGGTCTCAGGGTACAACATGTCAGACACTTTCCCTCTTCAAGTATGTGCATGCAGCAGAGCCTCGAGTTTCAGACCCAACTATACTACATTTAGCGTACATGAAAATTTCTTTGGTATAACTTTTGAAATGCAAGGCAGGATATTTTTTAAAGTTTATATAATTAAGATCTGACTAACCTTCAGTATTTAAGGTTGAAATTTGAAACATTTCAAATTGAAATTTTTGATTTTTTTTTTCCTTTTTAATAACATTTTCTCTAAAAATGCCTGTTACATGTGTATTCATTAAATTTTTTCGCTGGTTTTTTTGTTTCACACCCACAGCTTTTATTTACTTATCCAGTTCCTTGTCCAGTATTCTGATCTTAACCAAATGATGTATTCCTCTCCATTTGAAAGATACTGCTCAGATCACACTATGCACTGGAAAGCTAATGGTTTTCTTTCTCTGCTTCATCGCTGTGCTGTGTAATATGATAGCTTCTAGCCACATGTGGCTATTTAAATTAGTTAAGATTAAGTAAAATTAAAGTTTACTTCCTCAGTTGCAGTAACCGCATTTTAAGTGCTTTATTGTCACTTGTGACTAGTGGCTCCTGCGTTACCCAGCATAGATGCAGAACATTTCCAGTCATCTCAGTAAGTTTCTATAGAGACAGCACGGTTAATTGTATGAGGGTTAAGAAATTCAGCTATTCTGTAGATAGCATGACTAATTAAATCCAGTTCCTTAAAGTTCAACTTAGTATTATAAATAGAACTCTAGTCCACTAAAGTCTAGTGTATTAATGATGCCAAGTGTTTGGTCTTAAGATTCATGGACAGAACTATATTCAGGGTTTCAACAATTTCTCGCCTTGGCTTATTTCCTTGGATAGTAAAATTGAACTCAATGAAGTTATGTAAAAGTACTCTAAAGGGCAGTGACTTTTACTTTGATCATTGTGGGGATAATTGGAATGTCCAGTGGACCTGTGAATCAGGCAGTATGTCAGTATCCTTTGGAACAATGCTTGCTTTTCATATAGCATCTTTCCTATTTGAAGATGCTGTTTAGTGATCTACCTTAAAGAGTTTATATACTTTGAATTACTTTTCTGTAGTGATAAGTACGTACCTACCTATCCATATACTCTTGCCTTACCCCCTATTATGAATAATAGCACAGATTTTTGAGATGGTTGCTAGGATTCAGGGCATATAATCTATGGCCATGGAGCAAGACAAAGTTAATTATAATTTAGTGGATTTGAATCAGATACCCAGGCCTCATTGGCACCATGCTCTACCTAGATAAACAGTTATTTCTTTTGCTAGGGGGGAGCCAAAGACATGGTATGGTGTGCCATCTCATGCTGCAGAACAACTGGAGGAGGTGATGAGGGAGCTGGCCCCTGAGTTATTTGAATCCCAGCCTGATCTCCTACATCAGTTAGTCACCATCATGAACCCCAATGTGCTAATGGAGCATGGTGTGCCTGTGAGTCTTTTTGCATCTCCCTTCAGTATTTAAAATTTAAAGTTATGTACGCTTTTGATTAGAGTCACAGTATATGCTTGTTTTGTAATGGGAAATAAAAGATCACATCATCTTCGAGCCAAATTAGAATTTATACTCTGAAGGGAACAACATTTATTTGATTAAGAATGGGGTGTTGTAAAGTATGAATCACATTTACCTTATGTATAGCGACCTATCAGAATAGCCATGTTTTCAGTATATCCTGCTTTTAATAAAAATCTCATATTCTTTATTATCCCCATTTAACCAAAGTATAAGTATTTTAAGTGGTTGTTCTAATAACTAATGCTTATCCTTGTGGAGATCATAGTCCCATATTTCGTATAAAGATTTCATAGCCTCTTTTTCACATGAGATAATGAAGTAAAAATATACAATGAATACCTTTTCTGCTTTTAAACTTTTAGGTTTGAAAATGATTATTAAATTTAAGCTACGAACACCTGATAAAGTATAAATTTAATGTTCGCTGCATGTAGTCAAGTAGTCATCATAACCTTATTAAGAAAGCAGATCGAGTGATAGTAATGTTACTTTGTCTTTAAAGAGTAAATTTATGCAGAATCTGGGACTTTTCAGAAGACATAGTATTGTCATAAAACAAAGAGATTCAGGAAAACTGATGTGGGGGGGGTCTCTCCATATGACATATGAGCTAATCAGTTAGTTTCCAGAAAAAATTATCCAAAAGTAGGATGAAATTCCATCCTTTCCCACTGTTTACAACACAGGAATGAAAGGAATAAAAGAAAAATTCTCTTAACTGTAAAAATTTTATTAGGTTAGGAAACTAGTAGCTCATGAGAGCAGCATTTTCTCCTTGAAAATTCCTTTAGGCTGTGAACTCTTGTCATGAATTACTGTAATTTACAGTGACTATTTTAAGAAGGTGAAACTGACTGCTTCTTCAAGCCTGATACTGTTTTCTGGTCTGTGTAGGTTAATGCTTTACTGTTTCAAAGTTTGAAAAATGCTTCTGAAACTGACATAAAATGTTTCCCTTTTTTGTTGTTTTTCTTCTGTTTTGTTTTTGTACCCTGTTCCCAATTTGCATTTAGGTGTATAGGACGAATCAGTGTGCTGGCGAGTTTGTTGTGACGTTTCCTCGGGCCTATCACTCTGGATTTAATCAAGGCTACAACTTCGCTGAGGCTGTGAACTTCTGTACTGCTGACTGGGTCTGTTCCATAGCAAGTAGCTGTTGTGTCTACTAACAGCCCCGGAAAATGCATCTTAATTGCTGTGCTTGCTTAGTTGGGGAGGGGAGGGCCCACAGATATTTCAGTGGAAACTCGAATGTCTGTTGCCATTTACAGAGTTCCAGGTAGTTTTTATTTGGAAGATTTTATAGTTCGTTATTTCTCATTTGCTACTTCCTCATTTTATTTGAATTTTAAATGGGCAGTTGATGTTTTCTGAATCTTTATCTGAGAATGTAATTCCTCTAGTCTTTGCTTTCTCTGAGCGCTTTTGGATTTTAGAAGGGTGACCACATCTTTTCAAGAATTAATTGTACCACGTTTACAAATGTCTAGCTCTGATTTTTATCTTAAAATATCCAGTTCTGATTTTTATCTTAAAATATTCCTTTATTTTTTTCCTTCTGATAATTAGGAGATTTTATTCTTCCTGCTATTTTATGTTTTCTATATTCTTTTAAAAAAATTTATTTTAAAGGGTAGCTATAATATTGAGATCTCTGTGGGCTGCACTTTTGTGTAAATGGTATTGCCATTGATTGCTATTTTGCTTTTAAATGAGGTAGATATCAAAAAGTAATTAGTTATGTTTACGTCATGTCGGTGGGGAAAAGACTGCAAACCTATCATGCACTCTTGTTTTTTTTTTTTTTTGACTGTGCCACGTGGCATGTGGGCTCTTAGTGCCCCAACCAGGAATCGAACCCGCAGCCCCTGCCGTGGAAGCATGGAGTCCTAACCACTGGACCACCAGGAAAGTCCCTTGGGCAGCACTTTTTTTTTTTTTGCGGTACATGGGCCTCTCACTGTTGTGGCCTCTCCCGTTGCGGAGCACAGGCTCCGGATGCGCAGGCTTAGCGGCCATGGCTCACGGGCCCAGCCGCCCCGTGGCACGTGGGATCTTCCCGGACCGGGGCATGAACCCGTGTCCCCTGCATCAGCAGGTGGACTCTCAACCACTGCGCCACCCGGGAAGCCCGGGCAGCACTTCTTGTTTTTTGTTTTTTGTGGGTTTTTTTGGCTCTGTTGGGTCTTCGTTGCCGCACGCAGGCTTTCTCTAGTTGTGGCGAGCGGGGGCTACTCTTTGTTGTGGTGCGCAGGCTTCTTGTTGCGGAGCACGGGCTCTAGGTGCACAGGCTCAGTAGTCGTGGCTTGCGGGCTCTAGAGCACAGGCTCAGTAGTTGTGGTGCATGGGCTTAGTTGCTCCGCGGCATGTGGGATCTTCCTGGACGAGGGCTTGAACCCGTGTCCCCTGCCTTGGCAGGTGGTTTCTTAACCACTTCATCACCAGGGAAGTCCCGGGACAGCACTTTTAATTTCACTGGTCCTAATTTTTTTTTTACCTACTGTGTAAAGATGCTAAGGTTCACTTAACCTCAAACAAGTGAGATGATATTTGTGAGAGAAGGGTGATATAAATGAAAAGTAAAAGCAGCTTTGTATCCGGAATGAAGTGATGGTACTGATTTTTATAAGCCACAGTGGACAATCAGTTGTATTTTATGTGGCTTCCTTGTATATTGTATCAATAATAATTAAAAACTGCAAATCCTACAGTTTTGTTTTTCTTCTTGCTCTTGTTTTAAGTATTTGAGAAACGTTTAAAGAGTAAATTTCTGAGAATTAAGAAATGAAAGAATTGTATATTGTTATTAGACAAGATAGTCGCCAGTCATAAGCTCAGTATATATATTTTCTTGGGAAAGATTGTTTCTTTGGAAGAGTCCGGAAATAATGCTTGATTCAGAGATAGTTTTGTACTCTGAAACTCTGATTCCTGTGATTCCCTTCTGCCTTTCTCAGAATGGAGGCGAGCTCTAAAAGGTGTTCTTAAAGGTCCACTTTCTAATTTTTTCTCTTTTTTATTATGGTTTTCAAATACAAACCAAAACTTCAGACACCCAGGTTTTTCCACCTAAGGGAAGGAAAGAAGCTAGAGAGAGAGTGTTTGTGTAGCATAGCTAGTATCAATTTGTTTTAAAGCTTGATAGATTTTCAGAAGTTATCTTAAAAAGTGTAGCTGTTGATTTATGAAAAGTGATCATTTAGTGATTTATTTCACTTAGGAAAATTAAAGTATATAATCTCATGGTTTCACTTTGAATTCTCTTTAGGCCAGACTGGTAGTTTTAAAAATAATCTCTAGATGCTAAAATCTAAATTGTCTTTTGCTTTGGTCCTTATAAAAAATAAAGTTAGTCCATGTGAACTGCTTAAGTAGTGCTTTCTTCCCCTCCCTCCCTCCCTACCTTGTATTGATAGTAGCATCTGTTTGTTCTGTGGAAACATCAATGCTGAATATGTCCAGTTATCCCTTGATAGCCTGAAAAATTTTTTTCTTTTTCCTATAAGAGCAATCTCATACTAGACTGGTCTAAAAGAGTTTGCTGCCTCATTTATATATCAAGGAACTCATACTTCTTGAGGTACATAATGAGTAGAAAATCAGCTTAGGCCAGCAGCTCAACATCTCACATTATGGGAATTTCCTGTGGGAAGGCCTTTGAAATTCTTGCTGGGTGGTAAGGGTTTAATACTTACAGTTACCTCTTATGCTCAAATGGACGTTGTTATTCTCTGTTCTTTATAATAAAAGAGAGGATCTGGGGGGTAAGTAGTGGTTCTGTTCTGGAATGTGTTATAAGCAAGTAATTTAATTTGAGAATCTTGTTTTCAGTTGCCCATTGGCCGTCAGTGTGTCAGTCATTACCGTCGGCTGAGGCGCCATTGTGTCTTCTCGCACGAGGAACTGATTTTCAAGATGGCAGCAGATCCGGAATGCTTGGACGTGGGGCTTGCCGCCATGGTGTGCAAGGAGTTGACTCTCCTGACTGAAGAGGAGACACGGTTAAGGGAGTCTGTTATGCAGATGGTGAGTTTGCTGAGTACGTTTCCTGTAGTTGATACTGCTCACGGGATATACCAAAATTTAAACCTGTGGAAAGAATCCATTTTCATCTTTGATTCCTTTAGAAGTTGAACGCAAAAATTACTGGTTTGGAGAAGATTTCCCACTTCTGTACTTGCCGTTTTGGTTTCTTTAAGTTGAAAAAGTTTTAGGAATCTTGATGTCTTCATCTCCAGAGTTTTAAAAATGCAGTCCTATCAGGTAGAATTTCTTAGGTATGTATGTATTTTTTAAAATCTCCTACATATAGTATTACTTCTTTAAGCAAGAAAATTCAAAATTTTTTTTCTCTCTCAGCTTTGTAATTGAATAAAAATTATGTTTCTGGTGATTGCAGACTGTCAGAGTTAATCAATCTGTGTTTCCCTGCATTCTAAGTTTTTAATGAATATAAGAAGGACCGAATAACCCAGCGTTGGGATTTTGAATGCTTAGAATAAACTAAACATTGATCATATTGAAATGGGTAGTAAATGAGAAAATCTATGTCTTCAGCCACATCTAGGCCCATTTTCCCTAACCCTCCCTACATAGGTAGCCTCACTGGGTTTGTACCATGCTTCCTCCTGCTCTCGTACAGTCCACTTTCTTTCTTTCTTTTTTTTAAATAAATTTATTTATTTTTGGCTGCGTTGGCTCTTTGTTGCTGTGCGCGGGCTTTCTCTAGTTGCAGCGAGCGGTGGCTGTTCTTCCTTGTGGTGCGTGGGCTTCTCATTGCGGTGGCTTCTCTTGTTGCAGAGCACGGGCTCTAGGTGCGTAGGCTCAGTAGTTGTGGCTCGCGGGCTCTAGAGCGCAGGCTCAGTAATTGTGGAGCACGGCCTTAGTTGCTCCGCGGCATGTGGGATCTTCCCAGACCAGGGCTCGAACCCGTGTCCCCTGCGTTGGCAAGCAGATTCTTAACCACTGCACCACCAGGGAAGCCCTAGACCTGAAGAGTCTTAAGACAGTGAAAATAGTTTTAAGCTAAGGAAGAATACAGTGGACTAGCAATTTGGATCTGAAAAGTAAAGCTGATCCAATTTAACTACTCTGCTCATTGGCACAAATGGGGGAAAAAATCTATAAAAGAAAATATAAAACTATATATTTTAGAAATGATATAAATACTATTATTACAAAATATTTAAATGCTGGTTATTTTTAAGAATTTAAGTTGACTTAGAAATAAGAATATTTGCTAAATGGTTAGCTTTGTTTTTCTATTTATTTGAATTACCTGTGAAAGAAACAAGAAAGAGTAAGATGCAAATGCATCTTCTTAAAACATTTTTTTTTACATTTTGGGGATACGTTAATATATGCCTGATAGTTACTATTCTCACTTTATACCTGTATTCTTAAAGTTTTGTTTTGATTATGTTCATTTATTTATTTATTTGTTTGTTTTAAATAAATTATTTATTTATTTTTGTCTGTGTTGGGTCTTCGGTGCTGTGCGCAGGCTTTCTCTAGTTGCGGTGAGCAGGGGCCACTCTTCGTTGCAGTGCGAGGGCTTCTCGCTGTCATGGCCTCTCTTGTTGTGGAGCACAGGCTCCAGGCGTGCAAGCTTCAGTAGTTGTGTCACGCGGGCTCAGTAGTTGTGGCTTGCGGGCTCTAGAGTGCAGGCTCAATAGTTGTGGCATGCGGGCTCGGTAGTTGTGTTTCGCGGGCTCTAGAGCTCAGGCTCTGTAGTTGTGGCGCGCAGGCCTCGTTGCTCCGCAGCATGTGGGATCCTCCTGGGCCAGGGCTCGAACCTGTGTCCCCTGCACTGGCAGGCAGATTCTTAACCACTGTGCCACCAGGAAAGCCCTGATCAAGGTTTTTTTATTAACCTTTTGTATTTTATTATTTGTTTTAACAAGACTTTTTTTTTTTAGAGTGTTTTAAGTTCATAACAAAGTGAGAGAAGGTCCAGAGAGTTCGCATTTATCCCCTGCCCCACCCATGCACAGCCTCCTGTGTTACCAGTATCCCCCACCAGAGAGGGACGTTTTTTATAATTGATGAACCTACACTGACGCACCATAATCACCCCAAATCCATAGTTTATATTATGGTTCACTCTTAGTGTTGTGTATTTTATGGCTTTGGATGAATATATAACAACATGTATCCATCATTAAGGTATCATACAGAGTATTTTCACTTCCCTGTTTATCTTCTCTGCCCCCCAAACCCCTGGCAAACACTGATCTTTTCACTATCTATAGTCTTGCCTTTTCCAGATTGTCATATAGTTGAAATCATACAGTATGTCGCCTCTTCTGAATGCCTTCTTTCACTTAGTAATATGTGTTTAAGGTTCTTCTGTGTCTTTTCATGGCTCAATACCTCATTTCTTTTTGGCACTGAATAATAATTCGTTGTCTGGGTGGTTTATTTAACCATTCACCTACTGAAGGACATCGATTGCCTCCACGTTTTGGTAATATGAATAAAGCTGCTGTAAGCATGTGTATGCAGGTTATTGTGTGGACGTGATTTTCAACTGTTTGTGGGCTCTCTGTTCTGTTCCATTGATCTGTCTATTTTTTCGTTAGTGCCACCACATTGTCTTGGTTACTACTGTAGTTTTTATAGTAAGTCTTGAGGTTGAGTAGTGTCAGTCCTCCAACTTTGTTCTTCTTCGGTGTTGAGTTGGATATTATGGGTCTCTTGCCTTTCTATATAAATTTTAGAATTAGTTTGTCAATATCCATAAAATAACTTGCTGGAGTTTTGATTGGGATTGCACTGAATCTACAGATTTAAGTTGGGAATAAGTGACATCTTGACAGTATTGAGTTTCTCTATCTGTGAACGTGGAATATCTCTCTATTTACTTAGTTCTTTGATTTCATTCATTAGTTTTGTAGTTTTCTTCCTTGTACATATTTTGTTCAGTACCTTAGTACAGTTAAACCTTGAACAATATGGGGGTTAGGGGTGGCAACCCTCCACTGAATTGAAAATCCACGTAGAATTTATAGTCAGGGCCTTCCGTGGTGGTGCAGTGGTTAAGAATCTGCCTGCCAATGCGGGGACATGGGTTTGAGCCCTCGTCTGGGAAGATCCCACATGCCGCAGAGCAACTAAGCCTTTGCACCACAACTACTGAAGCCCGCACACCCTAGAGCCTGCGAGCCACAACTACTGAGAACGTGAGCCACAACTACTGAAGCCTGCGCACTCTAGGGCCTGCGTGTTGCAACTACTGAGCCCACGTGCTGCAGCTACTGAAGCCTGCGTGCCTAGAGCCTATGCTCCACAACAAGAGAAGCCACCGCAATGAGAAGCCCACGCACTGCAACAAAGAGTGGCCCCCACTTGCCACAACTAGAGAGAAATCCCACGCACAGCAACGAAGACCCAATGCAACCAAAAGATAAATAAATAAAATAAAATTACTTAAAAAAATTTATGGTCAGCCCTCTGTATACGCTGTTCTTTTGCACACATGATTCCGCATCTGTAGATTTAGCCAACCACAGACTGTACAGTACTGTAGTATTTACTATTGAAAAAAAATCTGAATGTAAGTGGATCCACAGAGTTCAAACCTGTGTTATCCAAGGGTCAACTGTATTTCATTTTTAGGAGTGCTAATGAAATGGCATTATGTTTTTAATTTCACATTCCACTTGTTCATTGCTGGTATATAGGAAAGAAATATTTTTTTTTTTTTTTTTTTTTGCGGTACACGGGCCTCTCACTGCTGTGGCCTCTCCCGTTGCGGAGCACAGGCTCCGGACGCGCAGGCTCAGCGGCCATGGCTCACAGGCTCAGCCGCTCCATGGCATATGGGATCTTACCGGACTGGGGCACGAACCCACGTCCCCTGCATCGGCAGGCGGACTCTCAACCACTGCGCCACCAGGGAAGCACAATGACTGGAATTCTTTACTGTAAAACTTCTCTGATCTGTTAATATGCTGGTATTTGTTAATCTTTAAGTTGGAAGGGATATAATACACAGCATTTACCTTCCGCCAGATTTACTTCTTTATTTACTGGTGTGTAAGTACCTTGCTCAAGTAAGTAGAAACTGTAAACAGAACCCCCTTGTCTATTAAATGGAAGTCTTTGTAAAATGCACTTCAAGTGTCTTTACTTTCTTAAAGTGGCATGCTGAATTTGATAAGCTTTTTTTTTTAACTTTGATATTTTTTTATTGACATATAGTTGATTTACAATGTTGTTAATTTCTGCTATATGGCAGAGTGATTCAGTTTTACATATATACTTTTTTACATTATGGTTTATCACAGGATATTGAATATAGTTCTTTGTTCTATACAGTAGGATCTTGTTGTTTATCCATTCTGTATATAAAAGATTAACTTTCTTAGGAATTCCCTGGTGGTCCAGTGGTAGGACTTCGCACTCTCACTGCTGAGGGCCCAGGGTTCAGTCCCTGGTCGGGGAACTAAGATCCTGCAAGCTGCAGTAGGGCGGCCAAAAAAAAAAAGAAAGAAAGAATAAAATTTGTTAAAAAAGATTAGCTTTCTTTTCGATGCCTTTTTGAAGTAGATTATATTTAGATTTGCATAGTTTAATTTTACATTTCTTTATCCTTGCATATGTTTGATCAGTGTTATTTTTAGATTATAGGTTACTAATATTTCTGGTTCAAGGGTATATTGTCCCTGGGGACAGTAATTTTTATTTTCGATTTATCTTTTTCTTATTTTATATAGGAAACAAAACCACATAAGACAAACAGAACTTCGTGAATTATTATGTAGTAAACTTTGTTGTCATCACAGTATGGTCAGGAAATAGAACTTTTATCAGCTAGCCAATATTTTGTAATAACTATAAATAGAGTGTAACCTTTAAAAATTGCATATACAAAAAGGCCTTTAGGGCAAAATATATTAGAAAATAATACTAGTAAATACAAAAATATTGGCTTACTGTGCAAAAAAAAAATCTGTCAGCCATCTTCAAAGTACCTCCCAATTATAGATTCCTTTCCTTCCCTCAAAAAATGACTTTTAACGTTTGTAGTAATCATTTCTTGCATTTAAAAATGTTTCCTCAGTCACATGTGCATTCTTAGACACCAAGGTTTAGTCTTGCTCATAAAAAAAAAAAATTAGTGGTGTTTTTAGAAAGTATTTTGATGATGTGCCATTGTACCTCCCATGTTTATATTGTCAGAGTAGAAGAAAATTTAATAACTTAAGTTCTCTGATGCTCGAAAGACTGGAAAGACTTGATGTGGTGACATCAATTGTATTTCAGGGCGTCCTGATGTCGGAAGAAGAAGTGTTTGAACTTGTTCCCGATGATGAGCGACAGTGTTCAGCATGCAGAACCACCTGTTTTCTCTCTGCTCTCACGTGTTCCTGTAATCCTGAGCGGCTTGTGTGTCTCTACCATCCAACTGATCTGTGCCCCTGCCCCATGCAGAAAAAATGTCTTAGGTATCCAGAAGTTTCTTGTAAAACTTCTGTTACCGTCTTTTAAAATTAATGTCAGTACTGTCCTTTGTAAAGCCCTTCCCTGTGTTTGGACTGGTAACCTCTTGTCTGTTTGCTTCCTTGCTTGAGGACCAGCCCATTAAAGTTGGCCCTAAACTTGGCACCTAAAGTTAGTTGTTTTATCAAGTTGATTTCACATGTTCCTTGTCTCTCCCTGAATTAAAACTCTGTGGGCTTCTTAGATTTTCTTTTTATGTATATACCAAAACCCCATTCCCCTGGCCATTTTACTTTCCTTAAGCTGATTGTATGTCAATTTTAATTTATTTTCAAGTTGTTGGTTTTTGGAAGTTTTTATTTTCTTGTGTGGTGTTTTTTTTTTTTTAGATATCGCTACCCATTAGAGGACCTCCCTTCTCTGCTGTATGGTGTGAAAGTCAGGGCACAGTCGTATGACACTTGGGTCAGTCGTGTTACAGAAGCATTAGCTGCCAACTTCAGCCACAAGAAAGGTTAAGTTTCTTCCTTTTCTAAGCACACACTGAAATGGTTGTCACTTTTCTAAGCACACACTGAAATGGTTGTCACTTTGCAAGAGGCGTTGTTTTGTTTTCCTCCAGGAAGGAGAAATCCTAGGCTTCATATGAGATTTGAGACTAATGGGTTGCTTCACTACAGAATTAATTTCCTGTTTGAGAATCTTCTTTTAAGTGAAAAAGTTGATATAAAATGGGACAAATAGCTAACTTGCAGCAGATGTATCATATATTTTTGGGAACCCCATTGTTACCAGTGGACTAACATTAAAGGCTTATTGAGAAAGAGAAATTGTCTAAGGATTAGAAACGAGCACCTGGTCATAAGCTTTTATTGTATTGGTGAGATTTTCACAGCTGTGATGTGTTTCTGCTAATTGGTTGGTGAATGGTTTTTTATTTTCTGTGGTCATAGTATATGGCATTTAATTTATTTTTACAGATTTGATTGAATTACGAGTAATGCTGGAAGATGCTGAGGATAGGAAATATCCAGAAAATGATCTCTTTCGAAAACTCAGGGATGCTGTAAAAGAAGCTGAGACCTGTGCTTCTGTGGCTCAGCTGCTTCTGAGCAAAAAGCAGAAGCACAGGTAAGACTAAGAAGAGCTGAGTTCTCCAATGGTTTTCTGTTTTGTTTTGTTTTGACCAGAATAAAGGCAAAGCCTTAACTGGCCTGTGAGGCCCTGCCCTGTCTTTTGAGGCCGTGTTTTCCCTCCTCCAGTAATGCCCTAACCATGTCTCCTGGTCTCCCTTCTTTCTTGCTCCACCCTGAACCCTCTCCCTCTGTTCTTCATATACACCAGTGTCTTCCTGCTTAGGGCCTTCACGCTTGCTCTTGGCTCTGCTTGGAGTTCTCTTCCCCTGATACCCAGGTGGCTTATTCCCTCACTTCTTTCATGTCTTTTACAGACGTTGCATTCTTGGAGAGGCCTTCTCTGATGACCTCTGTAAAATTGCAGCCTTTTATTCTTCTTTCCTGCTTTGTTTTTCTTCTGTCCCTGTCACCTCCTGATAGATGAATTTACTTATCTATTATCTTATCTCCTTCTTCCTTTCCCAGCCCCACTAGAAGGTATGCTAGAATAGAATGTTGGGGATTTTCATCCTTTTTGTTATTGCTGTGCTTTGAAGCATGCCTGGCACTGCGTAGGTGTGCACTAAGCCTTTGTAAATAAACGACACTACAGGCTGAAGGCAGGTGGCAGCAAAGAGTAACCTGGGTGCCGGGGAGGCTGTTGTTACAGAGCTGGAAGTATGTGCCCTTAATTTCATGTAATTCACGTGTGTTTAATTCCCTGTGGTACTGTTTCTTAGTAATTCCAACACGTTTCTTGTATCTGAATGCCTTTTTCTATAGCAGTTCACATTGGGTCTCTAATTACTTTATATGTTTTTTTATATTCTGTTTTATCAGAGAACTTTTCTTAGCAACATCCATCAGTGACTCTTCACCTGTCGTTGGGTCACTGACCCCCTTGGAGGATCTGGCGAAAGCTTGAAGACCCTTTTCTTAGAAAAATGCACATACTGACATAGTTTTGAATCAGTTTCTGAGGGTTTATAGTCTCCTAAGCCAGGTTTTAAAGGTCTTTGTCCTATATCTTAAGTTTCTTGAGGTAGAAGATTTAGTTTTATCAGTGAACTTAACATTTTACTGTGAGGAATTTATTAAATGTTTGAAATGTTTAATACTTGTGAGATTGGAGGAACTGTAACTTGGAGAGTTGAATCTTTGAGTCATTACCCGAAGAGCTAAACACTTAATTTGGAAGTGATCACCATTGCAGTGAAATCCCTCAAACACTAGTATTCTGGGATTTCTTGGGTTAGAATTCTGAAGAGACTAGAAACCCCTTTGATATGGGAATGACTGTGAATTTTTCTTACTTACGTCTCAATATTATTTCACATCAGGCAGAGCCCAGATAGTGGGAGGACTCGGACCAAACTGACAGTGGAAGAGTTGAAGGCCTTTGTCCAACAGCTTTTTAGTCTTCCATGTGTCATCAGCCAAGCTCGACAAGTAAAGGTGGAGTATCACATTCTTTTTTGGGTAATATCCTTTGTAGTATGGGCTCCTGTTTTGGGTAAAGAGAATAGTGTGTCTAGATTGGTTTTTTTGTTCTGTTTGTTTCTTTTCTCAAATAAGTGCTGCTATTTAAGGATTTTTAGTAGGCAATAAGAACTCTTGGCTTCATTCTTAGTCTTTGATTCCCCCTTTAGAATTCTGGAACTAAGCCTAGTTTAGAATATTTTTTTCTATATTAATTTTAAGCCAGAACCTCCGTTTAACTTAGATGTAATTGAAATGTAAAAAATTAGTTAAAGGAATCTGAATGTATCAGTGATTACTAGTTCATGAACTTTTAAAAATGCAGAACTCCGAAATTGCCAGGGCCCTCATGGTTTAATGAATATGTAAAATCTCAAAAGTATCAAATACATGAATCTGCATAGTTAGTAATCTTTCGATAGTTTGTGGTGTGTTTTTGTGATTTGGCGATGGCTGTGTATCTAAAATGGTTTTTACCAAGATTATCAACCGTGAAATCCAGTATCAGTTGTGTTGTCTTAACCCCATGTCATAAGAGCGTTTTGCTGGTTGACCATGCTTTCCTTCCTGAGAGACTTTCTTTTCTAAACATCTGACACCATACTCTCTGGTTTTCTTAGATTCACAATTCACAGTTCCTTCTCTTTAGGGAAGCTTTTTGATTTCTCCTTGGCTTGGCTTCTAAGTTTGGAGTATATTGGGAGTCTTGGCCCTTTCTTTAATAACTTCTTTGGTGACGTTAAATATCACCTATGTCCAGCTGATTCCCAGCTCTGCCTTTCTTCTTTTCTGCAGACTTGTACATCCAGTTGCATACTCTGCATTTGCCTTTGGCAGACTAAAAGACATCTTAAAAGCCTTTTCTAATGAATCAAAATTCTTGATTCCTTTGTTTCCCTTATGCACCACATTCCATCTCTAAACAGGTGTTCCTGTTGTATTATTTCCAAAACGTCTCCCAGAGTGAACTAGTCATCACCTCCACTGCTTCAGTTAGGCTCTGAACCACTGGAATCTGCCACTTAGGTTACTGCAACAGCTTCTTAACTGGTCTCTGTTCTTCTGCTCTTGTCCCTGAAAGTTTATTTTTTATTCAGTAGCCAGAGTGATTATGTAATAAAATAGGAATAAAATCATTCCGCTTCCATGTGGTTAAAATCCTCCCAGTGGTTCCCCAAAGCCACTCAAATGAAATGCAAACTCATTGTAATTAATCTACAAGGCACTATGTAATCTGACCTCTGCTTATTCCTTAACTACTTTCTCCTGCTTCCACTTTGCTCCCCATCAGCCACTTAGGAGCAAGACACAAGCTCATTTCTCTTTAAAAGCTTTTGCAGTGATTATTTGCCCTGCCTGAACTACTCTCTTCCAGGTCTCCATGCGGTTCCCCCCTCTACCTCCTCATTTTAGTTTTGGCTCACCTGTCTTTTGTGACCGTCATTGCAAAGTAATATGCCCCTCCCCCCCATTCCCTCTGATCACTTTTGTATTATATCATATTGTATTGCCCCATTTCATTTTCATAGCACTTAAAACTAACCGAAACATTTTATTCATGTCTTCACTGTCTGGCCACTTACATTAAAATATGTGTTCCTTGAAGACAAAGACTTTGTATTTTTGCTTAATGCTGTATGCCTAGAATAGTGCCTGTAACTAAGTCAGCAGTCATTAAATATTTTTTGAGTGAATTAATCATATTTAAAAGTAGGAGTATGTAATTACAGAGAAACATATTTTTGCCTTTATCATATCTGTTTGGTGCTATGATGCTGAGATTATTAGATAGTCTAGAATTTGGTAGTTTGCCTGAACTGTATGTATTCCATACTCAGTTTGTGTCTTTTAAGTTTGTTTTTTCTTTTTTTTCTTTTGGTCTTTTCAGAATCTACTGGACGATGTGGAAGAGTTTCATGAACGTGCTCAGGAGGCCATGATGGATGAAACCCCAGATTCTTCCAAACTGCAGATGTTGGTAGATATGGGCTCTGGTCTCTACGTGGAGCTACCTGAATTAGCCCGGCTAAAGCAAGAGCTGCAGCAGGCCCGATGGTTGGACGAAGTACGACTGACCCTGTCAGATCCACAGCAGGTCACTTTGGATGTCATGAAGAAATTGATAGACTCTGGGGTGGGGCTGGCACCCCACCATGCGGTGGAGAAAGCGATGGCTGAGCTTCAGGAGCTCCTCACGGTCTCTGAGCGATGGGAGGAAAAGGCCAAGGTCTGCCTGCAGGCAAGGTGAACACATATGTTGGTGACTGTCACGTCTTTAATAACTAGATTGGAGAGTGGAAAGGGAGGAGGAACATGAGGGTCTTAATTAAATGTTTTGTGCCTTCCCTGGCTGGTCACTAAGTTACCAGATTGGGCTGCATACAGACAGTTTCAAGTATTGTGTGCACACTGTGTGCAGAGTACTTGTTTTAGTAGGAGCCCTACCATTACTGACACTCTAGTTAGGAGCTAAGAAATACAAAGCTGTGTTGCAGTATGTTGTTAACTGAGAGGTCCAGAAAAATCCTAGAAGGATTCAGAGGAGGAGAGGTCATTATTAGCCTAGGTGGTCAGAAGAGACGCTTGAGAGAAAGGTAAGAACCTACACAGAGCCTTGAAGAATGAGTGGGATCGAAGTGGAAGGGGAGGTAAGAGAAATGTCCTAAGCTAAGCTTAAGGAGTGTGTAGGATGTGCTTAGGTGGCAGAAGTGAAGTGGTCTTCACATGAATGGGGGATTCACGCAGGAAAGCAGAGGGAGATCCGACAGGCAGGCAGGAGAGCGTGCGGTGTTAGCGTCAGCACCCGTTGGGCTGCTGGGATTGAAGTACAGCGTCCATCAGTTTGGCGGTAATGCTCTTGACGAAAGTGTTTTCTCAGCACTTACGATTAGTGTGTGTGCGATTTCCTTTGTGAGGATGAGGAAGCCGGGACGCTCACAGAGATCACGTAGCTGTCAAATAACAGCACAAGCGTAAGCCTTTTCCGCTTCACTCCAGCGTCTCCATGTACTTAACTGCTTCGCCAGTCACGTAGTTTGCATGCATTTGATAGGCTTTCCCGCACATGATTTGATCAACACGGTTCTGTTCAGCCAGGAGAAGGCTCCGTGTGTGCTGGATGCCAGATGCCACTGAGAATATATAATAAAGTTTATAGCTTTTCCTATCGGAAGCATTCAGATCACTCTATGTCTTCAGATTCATGGTAGTTCTAGGAGATGGGAGCGTATTAAATGGGAAAAGTTAAATAACTTGGGAGTGCAGACTATGACTTGGTACACCTGATACAACTGACAGTCGTCTGCTGAGTGAAATTTTATTGCTAGTAATACTTGAAAATTGTCTTTTTCCCATTTTCCTACATTTAACCAGTTTTAGTGATTTTTGCCTCCAGAATGCCTTTTGAATCTCTCTTCTTCAACTCCACTGTCACTGACCTAGTTACATAACTGTTACATTTTTCCCTCGATCTTTGCAATTCAGTGAGTATTTATGGAGTACCTACTACACGCCAGGTGCTGTTTCTAAGTGCTGTGGAGGCCATAGGGAAAAGACACAAGGTCCCTGCTCTAAAATAGAGCCGACATAGTGGGGAGAGACAGGTGAATAAGTGAATGAGTGTGTGAATTTCAGATAGTGTCGTGAAGGGAATAAAGTTGGTAAAGAGAGGACTGATGGGGTTGGTGGGGATAGTGGGGAGGTGAATCCTCCCTTTTCTAGCTCCTGTTGAGTTGTCTTTCTGAAACGCATACTTCGTATTCTTCGTCTCTTAGCATTGGTTCACTGTCACCATTCCTTTCTGGATATCTTCCTCCTTTGTCTTTGACCATCTCTCTGTGCCTCTTTCAGAATGGCTTTCCTCAAGATTCTGACCTAGACCGCTTCTCACTCTTTACACCTCCTTGGAAATTTCATCTTAATTTCTTGTCTCCATTTACCATCTTTATACTGATTAATGTCAAATTCTCATCTGTAACATAGATTTTTTTTTAATAGATACCGTCTGCCTGTTAGATAATTCCATAGGATGTCCCATCGGTACCTCAAATTCCCCATATTCAAAATTACCCTTGTTAACTCCTTCCCCTGCTCTTTCCCTTTGTTCCTGTTTTCTTTGACTTACACCCTCTTTCACTCATTTGAACGAGCCAGAACTTTGGAAATTAACTTTGACCCCACCCTTCTGTTTCTTTGCCGTCAGACTCAGTTAGCTACCAAGTCACACTGATGATATTTCCTCAGTGTTTTTCACTTCCATTCCTTTTCTCTGGACTGTTGTTACGGATGGCTTGGATCACAGCACCAGGTTCTGTCTATGACCTCACCCCTCAGTAAGCCATTGTCCGCACTGAAACTAGTATTTTCCTAAAATACATCTGTGACTGTTTGACTCCCTTGCTTAAAGCCCTTCACTGTTTCCCATTCCCCTTGGGATGAAGTTCACATTTCCTTAACCTGACTTATAAGGCCATCTGTAATCTAGCCCTTTGCTTAAATATCTACCCTCACCCCTTGCCATCCTCCCTCTTGCATTCTGTGTTCTAAACATAGTGATTCCTCCCCCCGTTCTTCAGACCTGCCGTGTTCTGTCTTGTCTCTGAACCTTTGCACGTGTTTATTTTATTCCCCTGTGGAACACTCTCGCCCTCTGCCCACCCCCTGTGGTGCACCTCCACCACCCCTACCCAGTGTCTGGTCCCAGGTTTCCTGACTAGTTCCTATTCAGAAAGGGTAAGCGAGCTTAGAGGTCACTTCTGGGAATTCTTCCTTCACTGCCAAGTCACTTAAGTTCCCCTACTGTATATTCTGATAGCATCTTTACTTTCTTTTAGCATTGCACTTACAGTGTATCGTAACTTTTTATTAATAATCACCTCCCCCCAGATGAAAGGGTTTCTGAGGCAAGGACTCTGTCAGTCGTGTGCATTCATCATCTCTAGGACCTAGCACAGTGCCCAGCACATAGCAGGATTCATGGATGGTCAAACTGTTTCCACGCTCAGTAGCTTCCTCTTGCTCACATAGGAAAATTCATGTCTCTCAAGACCTCTCAACCTGCGTCTTTCTTTCCTGCCAAGTTCCCTGCTTCTTGCTTTTACTCCTGCCCCACCTCCCATTCTCACCATCCCCCATCTTAAACTTATTTTTAATTTTTCTCTATGTCTTTGTTCATTATATTCCTGTTGTTTTTCCTTTAACCCTTCACTTGACCAAATTGTACTTCTTCTTTAAGGCCTAATTCAAAACCCTTCTCAACTCCCCCAGGCAGAATTAATTACTGCTTCCGGTGGTAGTGAACCTACAGTAATTTGTTCTTAGTTCTCAGTACAAGTATCATTCTTACCTTGTATTTTGATGAGTTGAGGATAAGGTCTATGTTTTCTTCATCTTTGTGTAACAAGGTGTTAATGAAAGTAGTTGAATTAAATATACTTGGTCAACGTTAATGGATTTCTAGACTACTGCTTTCTACATAGCTGTTTAATATGCATCTCTGACAATTTCAGATATTGTGGAGAACTAAAGTAGAAGTAATTTAGTGTAGTGAAAAAAAGAGCATGGGATCTGAGATTCATTCTGAGTCAGTGTTTCATGTGTGCCATTTACTACTTTAAATGACTTTGGGGAAAATAATTGACCTACTTTGACTTAAACTTTTCTTGTCTGTAAAATAGAAATAGAGGTAATACCTGTTTTGCCTCCCTTATAGGATTATGGTAAGAATTAAGTGAAGTCATGTGTATGAAAGTTCATTACACATTCTAGAATGTTATTTAAGTGTTGGTAGTAGTGTTTTGGCTTTTCCTCACACATCTACACCCTATTTTTGTGTTTTTTAAGACCACGGCACAGTGTGGCAAGTTTAGAAAGCATCGTGAATGAAGCTAAGAATATTCCAGCCTTTCTACCCAATGTGTTGTCCCTGAAAGAAGCCTTACAAAAGGCTCGAGAATGGACAAGTAAAGTGGAAGCTATTCAGGTAAAGAGCCTTTTGAATTGTCCTACCATTCAGGTAATGCTGTCTCATAGATGAATCCTTTTAGCCTTTAATTCTTTAGAATAGAATAACTGGACTAAAATAATTATGTACTTAAAATTCACTTGTTTTTCCATCTGATTTTTATTTCAAAATATATATTACCTGTTTAAACGTTACTTGTTTCTGTTGACTCCCTGCTATGAAAGATGACAGTTAGCCATTTAGTTAGTGCTTAGCAGTAGTTTGTTTCCTGCTGTGTTCTCTGACTTTCTTGCCATGTACACCAATTACCTTCTTTAATTGTAGTATAGTTAATTTACAGCGTTGTGCTAGTTTCAGATGTACAGCAAAGTGATTCAGTTATACATGTATTTGTGTTCTTTCTCAGATTCCTTTCCATTATAGGTTAGTACAAGATATTGAGTATAGTCGCCTGTGCTATACAGTAGGTCCTTGTTGTTTACTTATTTTATATATAGTAGTGTGTATGTGTTAATTTCAAACTCCTAATTTATTCCCCCCACTCCACCCTGCTGTCCCCCAGCTACTTTTAAAATAAGTGGCAGAAAAAGAAACTGAAATCAACATTTACTGAACCCCACAATACTCTTGCTACTATTCTGGTTGTTTGGGAGCAGAAACTAAGGGGAGGGTGTAAAGATAGAACCCTGGACCTCAACATTGCATATTCTAGTTGGCGAGACATATATCATACATCTGTAGTTCAAGACAATGAGCTAAGCGTTATATAGAGATGAAAGTGTGCTTGAATACATAATTTTTCTTCTGAATTACAAAACCGTTAGGCAGCGTTTACCGTATTGAGTATGTAAATACTGTTTATCGTAGAACTACACTGAAAGAAAGAGGAAGCCACCTCTCCCCCTAAGCTGCTGCCCTTAGAAAGAGTATTCTAAGTGTCAAGTTCTAATGACTTCTCTTTTCAGTTGACTTTTTCTGAGACCTGCTTAACTGCTACTCTTTCTGTTCTGTTTTTTAAAGTTATCTATTTTCATCAGACAGCTCCTCTGTTTGTTTCATCTTCGACCTATTTCAGGCAGTTGGTTGTTCTCAGGTGACTGAGAACCCTTAGTTGGCTGCTTACGATTGAAGGACCGAGCCTGCAGGTAGAGGTAGCTGTCATGGTTTTCCTGTGTGATTATAGAGGACTGTTCCTCACCAAACGCTTCCCTTCAGTGGGAGGACTGGCTTGTCAGCTCTAAGAGAGTGGACAGCTTCTGCTGCCCTTTAGGGTACGTCGCCTGGGAGAGGCTGTCTATGTCGGGGCTTAGCCAGAAGGTATTCTATAGTCAGATGGCTGTAGCTGGGCACGAAAGGGAGTAGTAGTAAATATATTTCTTGAGCCTATCTGTATCTGAGCTTTCTTTTCTCTTTCAATTATTCTCTTCTCTGTCTGTTCTTATCCTAGTACCATAGTGATTTAATGATACCATTATAATATCTCTTATGGCTAGAACCTTCTCATTCTTTTTAAAAATTGGACTTAAGTTTCTTGTCTTTCCATTTCATTGTAACTTCTAAAATGGATATATAGGCAAATATGTCAGGTAATACGTGGGAAGTAACTATTGGAATGTCACTTCAGCACGAAACACGATGCCTTTCCTTCATAGCTTCTGAGTAGTGATGAATGTTATGGGGATATACACAGTTTCTTATAGGAAAGGTTATGTGTTCTGTCTGCTGGGGGATTGATGCACTCTGAGGTGTCGCGCTGAATTATTGTCTACAGGCTGCCAGCCTACTACTTCTGATATTCTTGCCGAGTCCCTGGAATGGATTACTCGTTAACTCTCACTTCCTGTAATGATTCAGTTATTTAGTAAATTTAAAGCCGTATAAATTTGAAAAGCAATAATTACTTCATTATGTGGAAATATTGAAACATTGTGACTTAGAAGGAAAATATCCATTCTTGTTTGTGTTTGTAGGACATAAAATGGAGGTGGTTACCAGAACTAAAATACTGCTCTGTAGTAGTTGGAAAATTGTGAAAGGCTTTGAAACAGGCAGAAGAGGTTACTTATGTCCTTTCTGTAGAACGGTGGATGTCGTTCAGCGAACCATCCAGGATGGTTTGATTCCAGGAGTGTATGCCTTAGACTTTCTTTGACCAAGCTATTTTACACCTCTCTCAGTTGTTTAAAAATGATAGTAATGTGAATGAATTAGTCTGTAGAAAAGTAATTAAATTTGTAAGGAACAAATGATTTTCCACACTGTAGAAAAGATGATTCCATTGATGGGTATGATGTTAAATACCTGTTTCCATCTACTAGCAAATTCCTTTCCTCATTCCTAATTGCATTTATATATGTTTGTTTTTAGATTGTCCTTTGAACTAGTTTTTACATCTCACTGGGTCCCTTGTTAATTAATAAAACAAAAATCTTTGACAGTGTGAATTTACGCAAACTTTTTTTAAAGGACGTTGGAAGGCTCTGTTAATTCAAGAGATATTGATACAGTTAGGTTCAAAGAATAATATTTAATGAAAAAATTAACGCTAAAGTCTTTGTGCGGTCTACCAACAATATATTGCCAGACTTTCTAAGAGATTGCAAACTGTGTAAGGATGCCCTTTGTTCTTCAGAGTGGCAGCAATTATGCTTACTTGGAGCAGCTGGAAAGCTTATCTGCCAAAGGCCGCCCTCTCCCTGTGCGTCTTGATGCGTTGCCCCAGGTGGAGTCACAAGTGGCGGCAGCACGGGCCTGGAGAGAACGGACTGGGAGGACCTTTCTTAAGAAGAATTCCAGCCACACGTTGCTCCAGGTGAGGGGCGGTTTACTTTATGTGTGTGCACTTCAGCACCCTCATCAGGAGTTGCTGATGTAATACCTGAGGCGAGGGTTGTTTTCAGTTTAGCCGGTCATGGTTACACAGGGGATTCCGTTTTGGGTAATATCAGATGCTGACCAGTAATCTGGAGCCTTGGGCAGACTTGTTTCCAGTTCATCTAATACTATGTCTAGAAAAAGAAGTCAGCCTGATGTTATCTCTGCTGTTATAATGGACTCTGTCACTGAAAGATCTTATTTCTCAGAGGCACAAATTTAAAAAAAAATCTTTTTTAATTGAAGTATAGTTGATTAACAGTGTTGTGTTAGTTTCTGGTGTATAGCAGAGTGATTCAGTTATACATATATATTCTAAATTGATTGATTGATTGATTGATGGCTGCATTGGGTCTTCGTTGCTGTGCGTGGGCTTTTCTCTAGTTGTGGCGAGCGGGGGCTACTCTTCACTGTGGTGCACTGGCTTCTCATTGCGGCGGCTTCTCTTGTTGCGGAAAACAGGCTCTAGGCACGCAGGCTTCAGTAGTTGTGGCTCACGGGCTCAGTAGTTGTGGCTCGTGGGCTCTAGAGCACAGGCTCAGTAGTTGTGGTGCATGAACTTAGTTGCTCTGCAGCATGTGGGATCTTCCCGGACCAGGAGTCAAACCTGTGTCCCCTGCACTGGCAGGTGGATTCTTAACCGGTGCGCCACCAGGGCAGCCCCACAAGTATATATTCTTCTTCAGACTCCTTTCCATTACAGGTTATTACAAGATGCTGAACACAGCTCCCTGTGCTCTGCAGTAGGACCTTGTTGTTTATCTATTTCATATATAGGTAGTATGTATCTGCTAATCCCAAGCTCCTAATTTATCCCTCCCCCCATCTTTTCCCTTTGGTGACCATAGGTTTGTTTTCTATGTTTGTGACTCTGTGTCTGTCTTGTAAATGAGTTCATTTGTATCATTTTTTTTAGATTCCACATAGGAGTGATATCATAATATTTGTCTTTCTCTGTTTTTCTTCACTCAGTATGGTAATCTCTAGGTCCATCTGTGTTGCAGCAAATGGCATTACTTCATTCTTTTTTATGGCTGAGTAATATTCCATTGTGTATATGTACCACATCTTCTTCACCCATTCCTGTTGATGGACACTTAGGTTGCTTCCATGTCTTGGCTATTGTGAATAGTGAGAAGCACAAATTTCAATACTCATTACCCTTTTTCATGTTGAACAGTTGAACATAGTAGTTAAGAGCATAGACTTTGGAGTAAGATATTTTCATGTTTGAGGACTGGCTTCCTAGTGCTAACCCTGTGTCTGTGGGCAAGTTGTTGCCTTTCTGGTTTCCCTCGTTTGTACAGTGCCGATAGTACCACCTACATCAGAGGCTTGTTGGGAGTTTTGAATTAGATAATGCATATGAAGTTCATAAGAACGTGTCTAAGACATGTGAGTGGTCAGTAAATGGTTCATTTTATTTTCAGTTTTGAGATTTTTTTTTTTTAAACCAGAGCTCCATATTTGGTTTTATCTTTGTAGGTGCTTAGTCCCCGAACTGACATTGGTATTTATGGGAGTGGAAAAAATAGAAGGAAAAAAGTAAAAGAACTAATAGAAAAAGAAAAAGAAAAGGATCTGGACCTTGAACCTCTGAGTGATCTGGAGGAGGGATTGGAGGAAACCAGAGATACAGCCACAGTGGTAAGAAATTATGTAGTGCATCTTGAATTTGCTTGGTGAATACAGAATTCTGTGAAGGTATTAGCGGAATCACTGTTTTTTATGTTCTTAACTATTTTTATTTTTGTGTACTTTATCTTTGGCTTTATGGTTATACATATTCCACATCTTTTTTAATATTTGGAATCAAAGAATATAAAAAGTTTACTCTTCTCTCTCCCTAACATTGTCTTTTCCATCTCTCTTCTTTATTGTTATTTTAGCAGTCATCTAATATTCCATCAAGTTTTCCATACCTTGCTGAACACTTTTCTGATATTGACCGTTTTTGTTGTTACTAGGAGTTCGCTGTTATGGGTAATAGCAAAGTGAACTGCTCTGTACAGCCTTTTCCTTTCTTCACATCACTTTCCTGCACTTGACTCTTAGGAATGGGATTTACTGGGCTAGAATTTCAGAGCATTTGGTGCTTAGTGCTGTTGTGCTTTTCAAAGGACTTCTGCCGGCTGATAGCAGCTGCAATGTGCAGTGTCTGCCTCTTTTAGCAGCATTCAGTAGTGTAGTGAGCGTGCAGTAAGATGCTTGTAGCGAATTAAAATTATGGGTTTTGTTGGAGAGTAGGAGGAATATGTTACAATTACAAGGAGACTGAGGAAGTAGAAAATAAAATGAGTTTGGGCAATATGTAGTAGTAGTGAGTCGCATATACTAAGTGAGTTCATATGGCTCTTTCTGCCTAAATGATCCTGTTTTGAGGCCGGTGGAAATAATTTCTTGCTAGAGAGCCTGCCCAGTAAGTTAGTCTCGCCAGAAAAATAGCACTGGAAGTTATTTCAGAACTGCTTCAAAGCTGCCGGAGTTTAAAAAGGAAATGCCCTGACAACATTCATAATAATTAAATTTTGTTTTTATATACGTTTTTGAAATGAGTTACATAAAACCTTGTTATAATTAGTCATCAGGCTTTGTCATTCTTCTTCTACATAAGTTGGAAAGTCCTAGAAAGAAATAAAAATTGGTTTGTATCAGACTTTCCCCCAGAGGATGAATTACAAGGGGGTGAGGAGTCAGTATTGATCGTTTATCTTGTGCCAGGCACCAAGTTAGGCACTTCCATACGTTATCGTATTTAATCCTTAAAACAGCAAAAAGTGGTTAGTAGTGACTGAGATTCAGAAAACTTGTAACCCGGATCAGGAGTCTATTAAGTGTAAGAGCCAGGCCTCATACCAAGGCTGCTTGATTTCAAGGCATACCATCTTTCTACTGCACCCTATAGAAGAATTAAAAAGTACTCTACGGATGCGAATTGTGAGTACTTGCGAATTTTGCACATGAGGAATGTTTGCACAGAAACTGTCATGCTGCCCCAAATTTTAAGAAATTACTGATTTTTTTTTTTTTAAAAAAGGACAATGCTTTGGACTTCCCTGGCAGTTCAGTGGTTAAGACTCTGTGTATCCAGTGCAGGGGGGCGGGTTCGATCCCTGGTCAGGGAACTAAGATCCCACATGCTGTGCGGTGTGGCCAAAAAAAAAGACAGTGCTCTGTCACCGTGAGGCTACAACATGGAGGTGATCCCTTAGCCTTGAAGATTTGGTACTTTTGGGGTATTTTGCAGTGACTCCCTTCACTTAAATGTTTGTTGTACACAGGTGGCAGTTTTCAAAGAACGGGAGCAAAAAGAGATTGAAGCCATGCATTCCCTCAGAGCAGCCAACCTAGCCAAGATGTCAATGGTAGACCGCATAGAAGAAGTAAAATTTTGCATTTGCCGCAAGACAGCAAGTGGGTTTATGCTCCAGTGTGAGCTCTGCAAAGACTGGTTTCATAACAGCTGTGTTCCTCTTCCTAAGTCAAGTTCCCAGAAGAAAGGGTCTAGCTGGCAGGCTAAAGAAGTAAAGTTCCTTTGCCCTCTCTGTATGCGGTCTCGAAGACCTAGGCTAGAGACCATTCTGTCCCTCCTGGTATCCCTTCAGAAGTTGCCTGTACGGCTGCCTGAAGGAGAGGCCCTTCAGTGTTTGACAGAACGTGCAATGAGTTGGCAGGACAGGGCCCGGCAAGCCCTGGCCACAGATGAGCTGTCCTCTGCCCTGGCCAAGCTCTCTGTGTTGAGCCAGCGGATGGTGGAGCAGGCAGCTCGGGAGAAAACTGAAAAGATCATCAGCGCAGAGCTCCAAAAAGCCGCTGCCAATCCAGACTTACAGGCAAGTTTAGAATTTTCTTTTTTTTCCTGTTTCTTGGGATAATATTTGTCAGTGTGTAAGTAGTAAGTCAAATCTATCTTACCAGTAGATTAGGAAAATAACAGTAAGTTGCTAGCAACTATATTACGCGTAATTTCCTCTTTGCATGTACGCCCATAGGATTTTCTTTGGGTATATACGTAAGGTTGTTTCAGTGAGGTATTACCTGGAAATATCATTCAGGTGGACCTTAGCATTATAATCAAATAATTTGATCTGTACTAACTGTTGAATTCTGTTAGCCAGTTTGCAGGTTTGTTAGGTTTTGGTGGTCTTAAGCATACATTAATTACTCACGTTTTTGTAGTGTGTCTCTCTGCTCATCTTGGGATTGCTTGTTGTTTAGGGGCACTTGCCTAGTTTCCAGCAGTCTGCTTTTAACCGGGTGGTGAGCAGTGTGTCTTCTTCCCCTCGGCAAACGGTGGACTATGATGATGAAGAGACGGATTCTGATGAAGACATTCGGGAGACATATGGCTGTGACACGAAGGTAAGTACAGGGCAGGCCGTGTGGGCACATACCTGATCACTGAGTTTGTTCAAAAAAGCTGTTGGACACTGGTGTTTGAAGCCTGAAAGTGGAAGAGAAAGCTAGCCATCTCTCTATCCTAGTTGATGGTGATAGCATTTTTTCAGTGCTCCAAAAAATATATAGATTGATGAAACTTAATTTTTTTTTAAAGGATGGAATTTTTAAAAATCTGTATTTATTTTCCTCACCCCGAGGCTTAGAGGGACTAGAAAAATTATACATTTACGTTATTGAAAACTTTCGTGGCTGATGTCATTGTTTTTTCCTTTGGGTTGTTAAAGTCTCTGTAGTTTTAAGAATCCCATTCTAGCTTTGCTTCGAGTCTTTTTCTCTGATCTCCTATCTGAGTGGTGCTAGACAGCATGTCATATTCAGGGATGGGTTATACTTGGGCCCATGGTTCGAATTTGTGGAGTTACAGTCACAGTTAGAACAAAGTATTTGCCCTCAATATGATTGTTTTCATAATGACACCACACTGGGATGAAGGGAAGGTTTTGGCAAGGTTTTGTGTTGGATCTTTTTGGCCTTTTATTGTTGTTTTGTGTCATGCCCAAGACCTTTGTCTTTTGTCTAGTAACAACATCATGATCTAGGCAGACACTCTGCCAGCTTACAGTTAATCTCTTGATCTGTTTTGTGTTATTCTTTGTTGAGCTAATGTTTAGCATCTATGCCAGTAACCGGGGAGTTCGTACTCTGATGTATGAAAAAACTAGGGTGCCTTCTCTTCCCAGTCTGTTCACTGTCTTTTCCTTTGTCTTTTCAGCATACTAGGTAAGCTCATTCTTAGAGCATGAATACCATCGGCATTAGAACTCCCAGGATATAAAGTTAAACCATCCATCATAGATGCTTGTAAATTACCCACTGGAAAATGTTTTTATCAAGATAAAAATGGATCAAGGGGATGTTTTAATGAGGGAATTTTTTTAAATTACATGAATTAAAGACTTGAGAAAAGTTGAAACTTGAATTAGCATTTAAAATAAGGTTCTAGGGCTTCCCTGGTGGCACAGTGGTTGAGAGTCCGCCTGCCGATGCAGGGGACATGGGTTCGTGCCCCCGTCTGGGAAGATCCCACATGCCGCGGAGCGGCTGGGCCTGTGAGCCATGGCCGCTGAGCCTGCGTGCCCGGAGCCCATGCGCCGCAACAGGAGACACCACAACAGTGAGAGGCCCGCGTACCGCAAAAAAAAAAAAAAAAAAAAAAAGGTTCTAAGTGACTTCCCTGGTGGCGCAGTGGTTAAGAATCCACCTGCCGATGCAGGGGACACGGGTTCGAGCCCTGGTCTGGGAAGATCCCACATGCTGCAGAGCAACTAAGCCCGTGTGCCAGAACTACTGAGCCTGTGCTCTAGAGCCTGTGAGCCACAACTACTGAGCCCACGTGCCATAATTACTGAAGCCTGTACGCTCCAGGGCCCGTGCTCTGCAACAGAGAGAAGCCACTGCAATGAGAAGCCTGCGCACGGCAAGAAAGAGTAGCCCCCGCTTGCAGCCAACTAGAGAAAGCCCATGCACAGCAACGAAGGCCCAACGCAGCCGAAAATAAAATTAATTAATTAAAAGTATAATAAGGTTCCTAAGCACCTTGTTATCCTTGTGGTTAACGACCATCTTTATTTATAAAGTTGGTAGAATGACCAGGAGCAGCTGAAAGGGAATGCTGCCCACGCCACGTATAAGTTAGCCAGTACTAGAATTGCCTGTTTGCCGTGGCTTAGAGGCCCTCAGTACTTCGGTTGTTATCTTTCTAGCACATTAGGTATCAACCAGCACTCTAGAATTGCTAAACAGGATGGACTTCGCTTGGAGGCAGATTGGTAACCCATGAAAACAAAACATCACAGGTATTACATGATTTCAGGGCTAGGGATCAGAGCAGTGGTTGATTCGGTTGTATGGAGTAGTCCTCCGTTTGCAAAATATATATGGGGGTCTTAACTTACAGTCTGAGGAGAGGGTGTTCGCAGGGTAGAAAGATAAGATTATGGATTTTATAATGTTAGCAGTGTATTTGACAGCTTAGGACAGTGGAAGAATGGTGGCAAGACATGGTAATTCAAGGTCAAATTTACCTTGACGGCGGTATCTTTGCACTAAAAAAATTATACTCTTGAGGATTTTCCTATAGCGCAAGCACCGATTGTGTAATGAAAATCTTATTTGCCAGTTTATTTGCAGTTGGCTTGGTGATTTTTCCCTTTATATGATCTCCCCTGCTTGTGACCATGAAATCATCCTTAAAATAGTTCAAATTTAATGTCTTTGCTAGGATGAAGAGCCCCTGCCGGTTTAGGAAGAAGAGTAGGTAATTATAAAGAAAAATAAAATCAGTCATTGATCCTAGTTATCATAGCATTGAAATGTTTAAAACAGACAGTGTGTGCTTTGCATTGTTTGATGACTTCATTTTGCATGTGATACCCTGTGATCACTAAAATAATCGGAGCAAGCAATTCAAGAAACTCGTTAGTTAGGAAAATCTATGTGAAACAAAGTCTGTCACAGATGTCTTGTGATTGTGTCTGGGATAACCTTTCAGATATTCACATGATTATTTCCTTTTAGGGCATAGTGTTTACCTTTACTGGAACTGCCTGTCCATATTACAGTTTATATTTTTCAAATGCATACCTGTGTACAATTACACACCAGAAAGGAGGGTATAAAATAGTAGTAGGTATTATCTCCCAGGAAGTTCTTTTTTTTATCCCGGTAATTTCTTAATTTACAGAAAGGCAAGTTAAGCAGTTGGATTCTTTCATTTTTTTTTCTTCTCTATGCTTGTTAACACTTGGGTGGCTTGAGCTTTGGTGGAAATGAAGTCCGCTATATACGAACCTTCAAGTTGCAAACTTTGAAAGATGCGAACGTGCATTTGCGTATCCAGTCACCTAAGTTTGTTCACGTGTCTGGCGTACATTGTCACACGTGTGACAGCTAAGTCCGCGCATGGGCCTGGTTGCTCCGCGGCATGTGGGATCTACAAGTGGCTGTGCTTTTGTGTACTTTACTCTACAGTGCTGTGTAGAGTACAGTAGTACCGTGTCTTTACTTCAAGCCCAGCACGTCCAGAAGCAAGCGTAAAAGCTGGTACTACTGTACTTCTCAAGGTACTGTATTTTAAAAAGGTACTGTAAGATTAAAAATGTTTTTTTGTGTGTGTTTGTTTGTTTTTTATGTATCTGTGTGAAAAGTGTTATAAACCTATTACAGTACAGTACTGTATAGCCGATTGTGTTAGTTGGGTACCTAGGCTAACTTTGTTGGACTTAGGAAGGTGCTCTCGGAACAGAACTCGTTCGTATGTAGGGGACTTACTGTAGAGTAGATTTTGTCTGAGACTTTAGTCCTGCTAATATCAGATAAGGTGGAGTGACAGATCTGTGTGTGAAACACATTTCTCACTGAGAAGCCATTCCTCCTTTCTTGCATATTTGCCATTAGTGGGACTGAACTGTAATTTTCCTTCTTAGGAAGAGTAATTTGTTTTAAGCTTGCTGTTATCAGTTGTTTTACCTTCAGCCTATCTGTGTCTTTATATTTAAAATGCGTCTTTTGTAGACAGCACATGTGGTAGGGTTCTTTTTGGTGTGTCATTCTGCATATATATGCGTTTGTAAAATATATAGTTAAATCTTGGTTTTTAGGCAGTATTACAATCTCTGTCATTTAATTGGGGGTGTTCATTTACATTTAATGTAATTGTTGACATGGTTGGATTTAAGTTGACCATCTTTATTTTTCATTTTTTTCTGTTTTTGTTCCTCTGTTGCTTTTTCCTGCCTTCTTTTGGGTTAATTGACAATTTTTTTAAGGTTTCATTTTATTTCCTTTATTGGCTTCTTACCTATACCCCTTTTTATTTTTTATTTTTTTCAGTGATTGCTCTGGGGCTAACAATGCCTCTTTAACTTACCAAAGTCAGTGAGTACTTCATATTTCATACTTCACCCTGGGGAAGTAATTTTTTTTTAATTTATCTTTACCTGTCTTTACTTTCCATCATTATTTTCTATGTATCTATCTATTTATTTATGGCTGCCTTGGGTCTTCGTTGCTGCACGCGGACTTTCTCTAGTTGCAGCGAGCGGGGGCTACTCTTCGTTGCAGTGCATGGGCTTCTCATTGTGGTGGCTTCTCTTTGTTGCGGAGCACGGACTCTAGGTGCGCGGGCTTCGGTAGTTGTGGCGCGGGCTCTGGAGTGCAGGCTGAGTACTTGTGGCGCACGGGCTTAGTTGCTCCGTGGCATGTGGGATCTTCCTGGACCAGGGCTCAAACCTGTGTCCCCTGCATTGGCAGACGGATTCTTAACCACTGCACCACCAGGGAAATCCTCAATCATTATTTTCTGATCACTTTCCTTCCTAGTTTGGAAGCTTAACAGAAAGTTTCCTGCATGAGTTACAACGAAATGAGTAGAGTCAAGGTTAGAAAAAAAACATTGCAGTCAGTGAGATGACGCATCTGGGGACTGCAGTAGGCGAGTACTAAAGTACTCTCCTATCTGTTGCCTTTTAAGACTTAAATTCTTCAATAGGAAATAAGACTTACATGAACTGTGCTGTTCCTGAATTCTCAGTGAGTGACACTGTCTTCCAGAATCTTCTTATGAAACCTTTTAAGTATCCTGTTTAATTAAGGATAGCCTCGTGATAACAATAGACCTTCCTCTCATGCACCCTACAAAGAAAATCAGGTGTTGCATTAGTCATTGAGCTGTTGTCTCTCGTCTCCTAAGCTACTCATTTATACTCTGCTTGGTGATGCTAGGTCTGGGACTCTACACCAGGGCTTGGTAAACTTTTTCTGTAAAGTAATATATGTATATATTAGCATACATTATATGTAGTGATATTCTCTAGGTATATAATGTAAAGTAAATATTTTGGGTTTTGCAAGCCATATTTGGTCTCTGTTACACCTTCTCCTCCTTCCTTTTTTTTTTTTTTTAAATAACAACTCTTTAAAAATGTAAAAACTATTCTTAGCTCACGCTCCAAACAAAAAAATAGGCAGCCAGCTGGGTTTGGCCCGCAGACTGTGGTTTGCCAACCCCTGCTCTATACATTTATCCTTTGCCTGCTGCCCTCGCCCCCCCCCCCCCGCCAGCACAGGGCATTAGAGAAAATTAAAAGGCCTGTGCAGTGAGAAGGGAGTTGATCCTTCCCCTGTTTTATTCTCCATTCCTGTCATCATTGAACTACAATTGTTTTTCGTTTTGGGGGGGGGGCTTTTGTTTAATTTTTGTTTTTGTTTTTTTACCCTGGCAGTGGCAACTGGTTCCAATTTCTAGTTGATGTTTTTTTCACACTCCAGAAGCCAGCCACATTGTGTTCTATTAGGGATAGCAGAACCAGCACTTCCTCCTCAGAGGTCTGGGTCCCAACTCTGCAGGCCCCTTCTCTGAGCTTCTTGGTTCTAATAACCCCACTTCTTTTCTCTGTTACCTCAACCCTTAGAGATGGCAACTCTTTTCTTGCAGTTGTCTTAGTGTTACTTTGGTGTTTCTGTTTTGCCTTTTCAAGACTTTAATGTACATTTAACGAGTTCACTTTATTAAATTCTCCTTGTTGAACTTCTTGTGATTTCTGTCTCCCTGATTGCACTGTGACCGTTGAAGCTGTACTTGTGGGTTATTCTCCCCTAACTACAGGGGAGGATCGTCTGAGCCCTAATTAGACTTGTCACAATTGTATAGTTCGAATACTGTCAGGCTGTTTATTATATTAAGAGCAGTTGGTAAGCATCTAGGTTTGAAAACCTTTAGAGAGGATTAAATAATTTGTGTCCTTAAGATGTCACATCTAAACCTTTATTCCCCTCCTAAGTCCATTTTATTTTTCTTAAAGGGTCAAAGTTCCTTAACTTGTGGCTACAGGAGTTTTTATGAGTTGTAGACTGTAGAAAGTTGATTACGTAATCGTAATTTTCTTGTAGGTTTATTATCTCTGAGGATTACTTTTTTTTTTTTTTTTTTTGCGGTATGCGGGCCTCTCACTGTTGTGGCCTCTCCCGCTGCGGAGCACAGGCTCCGGACTCGCAGGCCCAGCGGCCACGGCTCACGGGCCCAGCCGCTCCGCGGCATGTGGGATCCTCCCAGACCGGGGCACGAACCCGTGTCCCCTGTATCGGCAGGCGGACTCTCAACCACTGCGCCACCAGGGAAGCCCTGAGGATTACTTTTGAGCTTTACTCTTTCCCTTTTGGCTTGAAACTCTGGTGATTTCTGTTTTTTTCCCCAATGGACATTTTCTGTCTTACTAAATACCATATATTTAATTTTAAGATCTTTTATTTATTTATTTTTATATATATATGCTGTGTTATATTAGAAACTTTAACCTGAAAGCCTGTATTTAGATTCTTGTCACGGGATAAGTTGTTTCCAATTCTCCGTGCCCGCTTCGTTTCTTCTACAGGACACAGCCAGTGTGAAATCCTCCAGCAGTCTGGAGCCCAGCCTATTTTGTGATGAAGAGATTCCCATCAAGTCCGAGGAGGTGGTCACGCACATGTGGACGGCACCCTCCTTCTGTGCTGAGCATGCTTATTCGTCTGCTTCTAAGAGCTGTTCTCAAGGTATTACGGCCCTTGGTAGCGGCATGGAGAAGAGAAGCCTGAAACCATACTGAATCTCTCTTTCAGTACAAACCCTGGCAGTGAAATGCGATAGAACCTGAAAAAATGCAACTTTGGAAAAGCCAGTCTCTGTTAGCATTTTTCTGTCATTAGGTCATAACCTAAAAATTTCCATAGAATTATTGAATCCTAATTAGAAGGACTTTAGAGGCCATCTGGTCCCATTCTAGTCCCATTTTATTTTTATCAAATCCCTGATAGGTAGTTATTTATCCTCTATTTGTTTATTACCGGTTGTTGAGGAGCTTGCTGCTTTTTAAGAATATTCATTCTGGTTTTGGAAAGCTTTGTTAGTTTTTCATCCCTTGGTAAGTAATTTCTCTATTATGTTCACTTTTTTTGTCCCTAGTGAAAATGAGTCAGACTGCTTTAGGTCACACCTCTGGAAAAGGGAGAGTGTTTCTCTCGTCACAGTAAAACTCAGGGTTTTATGGAACAGCGTATTACTGCTGTTTGTTAAGTAGATATCATTCATATGGGGCAGTTATATGCTTAGTCTTTTGGTCTTCTCTGAAACGGAGAGAGCATGGGGTAGGAGATTCTCTCCCATTCCCCTTCCCCTCCAGTCACAAGGTAAAGAATCAATAAGGAACCTGTTTTTTTTTTTTTTTACTCTAAACCAGTTTTTTAGAGTGGTCATTAGAATTCTAGGTCTTTCTGTTCCGTATTTTTAAAAATTTTATTTTCACTTTCATACTGATGCAGTGAACCCAAACTTCTAAATTAAATGTTGGAGGAGGAGGGACCATTCTTCTAAATATTTACTTTCAAAACATTACAGTTTTTCAATAGTTTTCATTATTTTGTCTTATATTTTGGGGGAAAGGTTCTAACACCCCAAGGAAACAACCTCGGAAGAGCCCTCTGGTGCCCCGTAGTTTGGAGCCTCCGGTGCTAGAGTTATCGCCTGGAGCTAAAGCCCAGCTGGAAGAACTTATGATGGTTGGAGATCTCCTGGAGGTGTCTCTGGATGAGACTCAACACATATGGCGGATTTTGCAGGCCACACACCCACCCTCTGAAGACAGATTCCTGCATATCATGGAGGTATGGATTTGAAGCTTACTTACGGTGGTTTTAAAACCACTTAGAGTGTCCAAGTTCCTTGGAGGTACCACAGATTGCCACAAGGGGTGGCTGGGTGGGTAGTACTCTGATTGTCCTACTTTCTCATTAAGCCAAAGTAGTTCTGCTTTGTGGTTTTCTTTATTGAGATTTTATGTAATATTCAGTTTTTAAAAAGGCCATTTCTGCCGAAAAGAAAGGGAGGTACTGTAATTCACAAGTTGAGAACAACTTCCTTAGCCCAGGCTCACACTGGTGAAAGGCCCAAAAGTTAGGCAGGGGGCAATATAGTGGTTGAAAACAGGAAGCAAGGGAATGGTTAAATAGAAGTGGATTGGGTGGGAGGGGGAGTCCACATACACTTATACAATTTACACACTTTTATACAATTATAAATCACACAGTTTCTTATTTATACAGTTTATACATGTTGTTCTATCCATGATCTCATTCATCCTCACCATAGTCCTGAGGGGGAGGGGGAAAGGATAGACATGGCGAGTATTTAGCTCATTCTACCTGTGAAGAAAGTAAGGGTCAGAGACGTAGAAACTTGCCTGAGGTCACACGTGGAGTAAAAACAGAGACCTGGGTTCTCTCTCTGGCATTAGACTCCAGTATCCTTTTCATTATTCTTTTCCATGACTGTTTCCATGAGGCGGAAGGTACGCCGTCAGCAGCAGTTGACACGGATACGCCTGGTGCACTGTGGTTTGTCTTTGGTTTGGAGTCAGATTGAGGGTGCCTGACTTAGATAGTATTTTCCAGTCGCAGAGCATTTTCTTCACATCCGTTATCTCATCTGATCTTTATTTCACATATAAGGAAACACAAAGTGTTGAGAAGTTCAATATCTTATTCAAGATGTGATAGACTTAAGACACTTGTGACCCAGTGTTCTTTACGAATCTGCAGATTCTGAGGTTCCTGTCAAAGATATTCCAGTATCAAATCTGTGGGAAAATAAATTCTCAAGTGTTATTTCTTAAGTAATTATCAAGCTTATGTTTTTCAATATTTCTTTTTCTACCTTACCCCTTGTTCTTTCTGTTACTGGACACACTTTTACTATTAAAATCTTTAATGTTTACTACCTTGGCACATAAATAGCAACAATATTAGACAGTTGAGGAAAAAAAGGCAAGTGTTTTTGCTTCGTGACAGCAACTGTTTTCTTGTGAAAGTCACTACATACCCTTTGTAATGAGATCATGGATAAAATTTTGTGTTTTGCTGACAGTTTTGATAACTTCTTAACCACCAAGGATTTATTGAGTTAATAAAGAACTTTAGTACTGGTAAATGGAGACCCAAAGAGTTATTACATAATTATTTAGTATACATTTAGCTTTCTGTGTATGTTTTCATCTCAGTTACGTAGAGGTGCTACAGACTATATTAATATATGCAGATACTTTTTTTTGCCTTTTTTTTCCCTCTGATAAGCTAAAAATAAGTCAGATATTTTATTTAGGGCTTGTCATTATTTTCTACTGTTATCTTCTTTGAATATTATATTTGCCTTCTTAAAATATCTTCAGAATATTTATTGTGGTATAATGTACACAACATAAAATTTATCATTTCAACTGTTTTTAAGTATACAATTCAGTTGTTTTGATTACATTTATAATATTATACAACTATTACCAGTATCCATTTCCAGAACTTTAAAATTATTCCTAACAGAAACTCTGTACCATTAAATAATAAATCCCATTTCCCTCCCCCCAGCCCTGGTAACTCATATCCTATTTCCTGTCTCTGTGAAATTGCCTATTCCTGATACCTCATGTAAGAGAATAAACCAGTTTTTAAATGTCTTGCTTTAAAATTGTTTCTATTTTTATACTTATGAAGGATGACAGCATGGAAGAGAAACCATTAAAAATAAAAGGAAAGGACTCTTCAGAGAAGAAACGGAAACGGAAGCTAGAAAAAGAACAGCTTTTTGGCGAAGGAAAGCAGAAGTCCAAGGAGCTAAAGAAAATGGATAAACCTAAAAAGAAGAAATTAAAATTAAGTGTGGAAAAATCAAAGGAGCTGAACAAACTGGCCAAGAAACTAGCAAAAGAAGAAGAGAGGAAGAAAAAGAAGGAGAAGGCTGCTGCAGCCAAAGTTGAACTTGTGAAGGAGAGCTCGGAGAAGAAGAGAGAGAAGAAGGTGCTGGACATCCCCTCCAAATATGACTGGTCAGGAGCAGAGGAATCTGACGACGAGAACGCTGTGTGTGCCGCGCAGAACTGCCAGAGGCCCTGCAAGGACAAGGTGAGTCTAGCTGTACCCGCCAAGTATGCGCGGGGACGTGGAGCAGCGGCCGGGCACACCTGGGTTTGAGGTAATGATGGTCTGTTTGGCCTTGTGACGTCACATGTTTAATTCAGTTTCTAGAAACATTTTCAGTTATGAGGCTCTTAGTAGAAGAAATGTTGTGTTTTAGAAATCGTATACGTGGTGATCGTCCTGACTGAGCAGAGAGAAGCTGTGTGGTACCAGGAGCGGTGTGTCTCATGCGTGGGCACAGCAGGGCTCAGAGCAGTTGTGTCCCTTCCCTGCAGGGTGCCTCGGGGGACTAGACATCTTGTCAGTTAGCCACAGTGGCCCGAAAAGTTCTGGGCCGGTATCCTAAGAGCTGTGGCAAATTGCATTGAGATCAGTTCTGAAGACCTAAAACTAGGGGGTTAAATCTTCCCTTTTGGTCGGTGTCTTACCCACACCCGGCCCTGTGTGTACTCTCCTAAATAGAATATGATTGTTTTCACATCTCTTGCAAAAAATAAAGACCTTTAAAGGTATTATTTTTGAAATGTCAGCCCTGAATTTTAAATATTAGCAAGGATATGATGGTCTTTCTTAAGGTAATAATTGATGTTATAAACTTCTGAGAAAGACGGATGGACTTCATGAAAAATCCTAGTTCATTAAATGGCTGAAGGTATCTATTATAGTGTTCCCATCAAGATTATTAGTAAATTCATGGTTTTAATTTTATTATCTCCATACACCACTTGATGTTTAGAATTTTAATAGCTCCTCAATTTGAATATATCAACAGAATAAACACAGCTGCATCACTATTCCCTTACTTTCCTCCTCAGTTAAATACTTGTTAGAGCTTGAAGAGGTCACCTTGTCCAGCCTCTTCATTTCACAAATGAGGAAGCCAGGACTGAGTGAAGGTAAATGATGTGACCAAAGTCACAGAGCTCATTAGTGGCAAAACCGAAAGTAGAACCCTGGCTCCCAGACCAGGTCCTCTCCGCTAATATCCCCACCCCTCCGGTAACTGAGATGCAAGTACAAAAACACAGTGCAAAACTAAATGACACGTATTTAAATTATACTTATTAAAGGTTTTCTACTCACTTTTGGAAAATGAATATACAGTAAAATTTATATCCCGTAGTCCAGCTTTCTGAGGACCACAGCTGTAAATATTTTAGTGTGTTCCCTTCCAATTACTTTCCTGTATAGTTTGTTTTATATCGTGTCATACTGCCCACTTTTGTATCTGCTTTATTAGTTTCGTAAGTATTTTTCTATATTATAAATATTTTTAAAGCATTTTGGTAGATGCATTATATGTGCGTATATTATTTTTATCTTTCATTTGAATTTATTCTCATCTGAATCTGTTTATTAAAGAGGCTGATGACAGGTTAGCAGTTTCTCCTTGGGTCTGAAGTATTAGCAGCTTAGTGTTGGCAGGACCTTCTCCCTTTTCTTCCTCCTTTAACTAATTGTATGGCAGTTGGAGGACTGGCAACAGGATATGTTTCTTTTTCAAGCCTTCCTATCATCCTTCCTACAGTGTTTATATCCATCATGAACCTTTCTCTTTTTTTCTCCTTTTCACTTAATAACCTCTCGCCTCTCCTCTGTTCAGCATTTAAAATACAGTTCAGTTCATCTGCTATCCCTGTTCTTTTCCTGTAGCATATAAACGCTACAGGCAGTTTTTTTCTCATCTGCCATAAAATTGGTAACACATGTCCTGCTTCCTCTCAGGGTGGTCAAGGAGTAAGGTGAGATCATCTGTATGTGAAAGCACTAGTTAACCAAAAATGCAACTTAGGTGTTAAGATGTGATCATTATTTTTAGATGAACCCTGGGATTTACTCCTAACATTATAGGTATTTAAAAAAAAAAAATCTAGAAAGGGGAATCCCCTGGAAGTCCAGTGGTTAGGACTCCACAGCGCTTCCACTGCAGGGGCCCTGGGTTCAATCCCTGGTTGGGGAACTAAGATCCTGCATGCCACATGGCGTGGCCAAGAAAAAAAAAAATCTGGAAAGTTATCATCTACATTTTGATGGAGCAAAAGTAGATTTAGCTGAATATTTAGAGAAAATGTCTATTGTTTAAAACGTACAAAGATTTGTACACATTAATTTAAGATTAGTACAAAAATTGTCAGAACACATACACAGGTGAGCAGGTGTGCCTTAACCTGTCAATAGCTACATGAAAGACACTTATATGAATGATGTATTTCTATAATGTGTTTAATTTTAAACAGATTATTTCAGATTATGAACATTTTGCCCGTCATTTCTGTTTTGCAATTTTTATGGTTCTCCAAGTCTGTTTCTGACACCAGTTTTACTAAATGGAAGGTGTGTTTCTTTAGAAACTTGGTAAAGAATTTTACAACTTTCTCAATTTGAAGTATAGTGCTTCTCTAAGGAAAACAAATTAATGCATGGTACGCATCTTCAGAACAAAAGGATGACAAGAAAAGAGTGTTTTTTAAGGAAGTCTGTGTTCTTTAAATATCATGTAGCAAAAAACCCACACAACTTCTTGGGTTCATTTATATTTAGGTAAATGTATTCTAACTAGTAATTACTATTATTTTTACCAAAAAATGTGCAGATCGAGAAAACTTTGAAGGATTACTTAAATGTACCTAGCTTCAATTTCAAGATGTTTTAGAAAGAAAAAAGAAAAATATTATCAGAAAATGTAAAAGGTTTAAAAAAACCCCAAACTATCTCTTCCATCATTATCAAATTCAAGTTGAAATTAATTTTAAAAATAACAATGAAGAACTGTTTTCAAAAAATTAGTTTTAAGGTTCAGAATCTTTTTCTCCATGAATTTTGCCACTTTCATTCAATCTTATTGGTACCAAGAGTAAAACGAGTTAATTTGAAGGAGCAAATTCTTTCAAGCTAATATTTAAGTAACATTTTTTCTGCATTAAAATAAATATTTAATCTTACTTATGAAAATAGATTTTTTTTCTCTTTACTTTTTTTTTTAACCTTCTTACTATGGGCTTTTTCCTTACCCATTACTACCTCCCTAAGAAGTTTGGCACGATAAATAAAGAGAAACTATGTTTATAAACTTCTGTCTCTCACTTTTACTATTTGTTAGCCACTCTGATTTTTTAAAAAATAAATTTATTTATTTATTTATTTATTTTTGGCTGCGTTGGGTCTTCGTTGCTGCGCACGGGCTTTCTCTAGTTGTGGCGAGCGGGGGCTGCTCTTCGTGCGGTGCACGGGCTTCTCATTTCGGTGGCTTCTCGTTGCAGAGAGTGGGCTCTAGGCGCACGGGCTTCAGTAGTTGTGGCGTGTGGGCTCTAGGCATGCAGGCCTCAGTAGTTGTGGCGCATGGGCTCAGTAGTTGTGGCTCGTGGGCTCCAGGCGCGCGGGCTTCAGTAGTTGTGGCGCGTGGGCTCAGTAGTTGTGGCTCATGGGCTCTAGGTGTGCAGGCTTCAGTAGTTGTGGCGCATGGGCTTAGTAGTTGTAGCTCACGGGCTGTAGAGCGCAGGCTCAGTAGTTGTGGTACAAGGGCTTAGTTGCTCCGCGGCATGTGGGATCTTCCCGGACCAGGACTCGAACCCGTGTCCCTTGCATTGGAAGGTGGATATTCTTAACCACTGCACCACCAGGGAAGTCCCAGCCGCTCTGATTTTAAAAGATTTTTGTGGAGAGTTGTCTCAGCAAAAGTGTTTGCGTTATCAGTGGCTTTATCATTCATATCTCCTTTTGGCATAGGTAATCAAAGGTTGGATTACCTGAATGAGAGACACACACAAACTGGTGATGTTATGATAGGGTAACCAACTGTCCCAACTTGCCTGCGACTTTCCTGGTTTTAGCACCGCAATTCCTGTGTTTTGGGAAACCTGTTAATCTTAGGCAGACTGGGAGGGTTGGTTACTTACTGTTAAGATCACCAGAAAAACATACACAGGGATTGTGAACATATGTCATACTTGATTAAATTGTTTTAATTTTGAAATCTGGCTTTTGCAAGAAACTTCAGTGCAAAAGAGATTGAATGCCAAAATAAAAAGAGCTCAGGTGGGTAACTAAGACTGTCACTAAATCACGAGGCTTTCTTTTTTCCCAGTGCAGTAATATGCGCTCAGAAATGAACCAAAAATGTAATGTGCCAAATATTTTTTCTTACGTGTAAATATGAAACCATATAGCAAAACATGAAATGCCAAACTAACATTATATTTCTCATTTAAGCACACATTTCCCCCAATCCAAACCCAGTAAGCTATTTTTACTATAGTTAAATGTCTTATCAGTTAATATCTGAACAGCTCGTTGCTGTGAAGCTTTTCAGTAATTACTTTTTTTTGATTTGATAAGTATATCTCCCAGAAATACTGAAAGGGGAAATGACTATTAGAACTTACTATGCGGTTAGCCAAATTCTTTGTTCTTGAGTGTTCAGGCTACTGCATAGTCTGCAGATTCAGCTGACATTCCAGACAAAAGTAGAACTGGATTTTGATTGTAAGTAGATGAACATGATAGGAAGATACTCGTAAAGAGGGCTATTTTTAAAAAATAATTTTATTTATTTATTCAGTTTTGGCTGCGTTGGATCTTCGTTGCTGCGTGTGGGCTTTCTCTAGTTGTGGCGAGCGGGGGCTCCTCTTCGTTGCGGTGTGTGGGCTTCTCATTGCGGTGGCTTCTCATGTTATGGAGCACGGGCTCTAGGCGCACGGGCTTCAGTAGTTGCGGCGCATGGGCTTCAGTAGCTGCGGCTTGCGGGCTCCAGAGCGCAGGCTCAGTAGTTGTGGCGCACGGGCTTATTTGCTCCGCGGCACGTGGGATCTTCCCGGACCAGGGCTTGAACCCATGTCCCCTGCATTGGCAGGCGGATTCTTAACCACTGCACCACCAGGGAAGTCCAAGAGGGCTATTTTTTCCCTGCTAGATTATTAGGGTAAATTGTTGTGTAACAGGTAGGCTGGGATAGCATCTCAAGAAAAGTTATATACTTTTTTGGGATGGTGGGAGAGCTGGGCTTAGGAATGGACCTCTAGCCAAAATCACAAAAGGAAATGTTGTCTTCCTTATTTGAAAGACAGCAATAGATATGATTTTGGGAGACCGGAAGCCAGGGCGTGTAGTGCACAATTAGATTCTAAAAGACATGGGGCCGCTTTTCTCGGCAGCAAATAGTGGTGAATTGGTAACCCTCTTACCCGGTGGGGGCTGGACTGGGTTAGATAACTGGAGGCAGGAGTAGTTACCTGTTGACTCAGGGTTGTCATAACCAGGTTGGCACCTCCAGGCTGGGCGGCCCAGAGAAGCACAGGTCTCCCAGTCCCGCTGATCAGCTCCAAATAGCCGGACAGTTGGGCTGAGCTCACCTGCTGTCAGATTAGCACTTTATAAATCTTCACCTGCTGGTAGCATCTGTATTTTTGAGTCATTGTCTCCCTTTTCTGTCTCCAGGACAGTTTGCCACAGCAGGGACATTTAGATCAGTTGTTTTCTTCACTGAACAGACTTCAGAAGCTAAATATCACACAAACAATTGAAGAACAAAACCACAGTTTATGTCAGGAAGTAATTAAGTCACTCCGAACTTACAGAAAGCGGGACCACGTACTGCCAGCGATGGTCAAATTTAGAATATTTAAGATTACCTGGGAGCTGGTCACAGTGCAGGATTCTGGTTTGTCCCCCAAGATATTCTGAGTCTGTGGGTTTGGGATGGGTTTCAGCTACACTTTTAACAGACGCAGCAGGTGATTCTGACGCAGGTAGTGCTGCAGGCAGTTACTTGAAGGTGCAGAATGTTTTGTGGAAGGTAGGACAGTGAGTAGAGCCAGGAGACTGTGATCTTAAAAAGTGCCTTCAGTGTCCCAGGCTGGGGACCAGGTGTCTTGCCAGACATTATTTTACCTGATCCTCTAAATAATCCTGTGAGCAAGATTTGATCTCCATTTTACAGATGGAGAAATGGGGCCTTAGGGAGATTAAATGACTTGCCTCAAATTTTACAAAAGAACTCTAGGAACGGCGAAAGCAAAAAGATTATTTTGACAGATGATTTCTCCCACCCTTTACTAAAAACCTGGAAACTACTAACCAGGAGTATCACACTTTTGATAAGTTTTATAGTATATGGACAGATTTCGAAAACTCCTCACTTTTCCTGAGACTCATTTCCCTATAGCCCAAACCTCCTTCCTCTGTTCTTTCTCATAAGCTGTACTGAAGTACTTAATTGATCCCTTCATACTCCATACTTTGCCCTGTTTTCTGGCAAAGCTCATTGTTGTAAGTGACTGCGTTGCTAGTGAAGTTATCAACTTCTGTACTGGGGAGAGAAGGGCAAGTAGCTCTTTGATCTTAAAGGTTCTAATCAGCAGTGGCATAGCTGTAAAAACTACCCCAGTCAGCTGCCAAATAGGAAAGCCCCAGATCACCTCACCGTTACCTACGTGCCCCGGGCTTAAAGTCACCAAGCAATAGTCCTTTTCTAGCCTCCTGTAATCACAGTGTTCTCTGAAGGGTCAGAGCTTGCCCGGCGTCTGCCACCGACCCATCAGTTACCCAGACTTTAATTTGAAACCTCAGAGTGATCTATTGACCTGTGTCTTTGACTGTTTTAATTGGCTAATTTGTAAGATTTGACCTCTGATATTTGCTGACTTTTTATAGGGAGTTGTATTTGTAACGGAAGAAGAGAAGAATAAAAAATATTAGTTTAAAAAGTGGCCTATGTGACTGCTTTTCTAAAAAGGTATTTAATGCTCTTAGTACTTTGGCTTATCTCTTTGAAATAAAGCTAATACACAGGATTGCCTTCACATTGTTGTACTCTTCTTGATTGATACTTGCATTGTCTTAGAGCCTAGAAATTGTTAATATTAGCTAAAACTACTTGGCTGCTCTATTAGAAGTTCCTTTTTTGTCAAATTTTCTCAAACGTGTTTCTGCCGCACTAGGAGCCCCAGGTATTTATGAGGTAATGGAGTACCTAAGAGGCCTAATTTTGTGGACATATTATGGAAAAAATAATTTGGGGGTATCAACTTCCCAGCTTCTTTCTTTAAAAAATAACCCCGTAAGAAGTCATTGTCTATCTCTGGGCATCCCAATTATTTGCTATCATTTAAGCCAAGAAAGCTCTTTGGTTTGCTTGTATTCCAGGCTTAATGTGTATGTAACCTAAACATTCCCTGATCTTGTCTCCAACAGGTAGACTGGGTGCAGTGTGATGGTGGCTGTGATGAGTGGTTTCACCAAGTTTGTGTGGGTGTATCTCCAGAAATGGCTGAAAATGAAGATTACATCTGTACAAACTGTGCAAAGAAGCAGGGGCCAGATAGCCCAGGTCCAGCAGCACCTCCTTCTTTCATAATGAGCTACAAGCTACCAGTGGAGGACCTTAAAGAGACCAGTTAGCAGGTGCTGGGTTAGCTTGGGACATGGGGGAAAACGGACCACACAGAGACCGTAGTCAGTAGAGTGGTTTACATCCACTCAGAATGTTGCTTCCAAAGACGAATGGCCTTCTGAGCAAGTCCTCCCAGCCGACTTCCTCTTTGCATGGACGTGGGATCTGCGTTCTCTGTCAGCACATCTGTGCCGAGGGTGTCTGCTTTGGTCCAGCAGCCAGTGTTTCAGTTCGTGTCTCCTCTGAGATTGCTTGTCACATTAAGGCCAGACATTTGAGCGCTAGGGTGGCTGGTTGGCATTAATGCGTTTGTGTGCCGGCAGGGCATGTAGGCTGCGGCTTCTGGCCAGTTGGTACTAGTTAGAGGTTTGCAGCCAGCACCACCCAGAGGTGCTGATCCCTTGGATCTCCTTAGTTAAGCCAGCGGGGGAGGAGTAGAATAGCAGTTTCCTTCCACTCTGCCCTGGCATTTGACGCCCTACACATCCAGCTAGGAGAGGGCCAGGGCTGAAGTTAGTCCTGTTAGAGGCCATGGGTAGTGGCACAGCCCGTAGACCTCAGCTCCATGTGCTTGTTTGTACCAAGAAGAAAACCCCAGTTGAGAGGCAGATCACCTCATCTTCCTAAGGAGGAGGATGGCATCTAGTTCAGAAGTCTGACTAGATTGGATTCTGGGAAGAAGAGATTTTATTTCAAGGCGAGGAGCCTTTTTTTGGCTTTGAGAAGTCTTGCTGCCTTGGGTCTGCATTTTAAAGAAGAGCAGGTACGTGGATCCAGGCTTCTGCGGTAGCAAAGAAGACAAGTCAGAATGTTTTACTGAGCCACAGCGGTGCCTGCTTTTCGGGGAACCCTTCATTCACAAGTGCACCAGGTGCCACGAGGCTTCGGGCATGGCCCCGAGCAAGACCAGCAAATAACAGCTCTTGCCTTGCAGCCCGGCCCCCGCTGGCTGTGGTTCCCAGGACTGGCCGTTTCTGACCGTGGCCCGCCGTAGATGCTGTCGCACAGCACGTGGCTTCATCAGAGGACGTGGGCTTAGAGTACCTCTGGGTGACAAAGTTGTTTAGTAAATCCATTTTTTAAAAAAAGAAAAAAGGACTTGTTTTTACTTTTTTCTAAATGTCTCTGACTACTGACTGTTCTATAAATAGATTATTTTTCCTTTTTTAATATACATATATGAATACACACACACACACACGCACGCACGCACGCACACACACACACACACACACACACACTGTTACCAGCAGCTTATGACAGAGTTTCAGCGTCAAAAATCCATTTGGGGGCTTGCTTTCTCGTCTTGCTTTTTAATAAAGGAATCCCATTCCTTCCTTGTAGTACAAGGAGTTAGCACTTCCTTCTCCATCCTAGCCCGACCAGATCTTCCATCTTGGTTTTGTTCGAATAGGTAATTATATTTCGTTTGTGTGTTGGGACTTGTCCCTTTCTGTGGGGAAACCTGGTCATACTGTATCTGTGATGGTAGTTCTGTTTTGTACGTGGAAGTTTGGAACTACGGTGCTGTGTTCTCCTCCCTCCTGTTGTGTTCTGTGTCCTTGTGAAGGTGTTAGGTAAGCTGTATGGAAACTCTTATTAGAAGGGGACTAATTTTTTTTTTTTTAGGACAAAAAACCCCCAAAACCCACCAAACAAACTAAAAATGGTGTTTTGTCTTCACTATGCTGTGTCCCTTTATTTCGGTTTGAAGATCTGTGGTTTGACTTAAATTCATCAGTTTTCCTTTTAAAAGGGGGGAGCAGGGTGGGCCCAGAGGGCAGCTTTTAGTCTTGTCTTCCCTTTTTGCCCCGATCTCTTTTAAAGAAATGTCTTCTAGTAACTAGAAGTGAAATGTACTGTCCAGTCACAGTTTGCGTGGGTATGAGATTTAACTCAAAAGGCATCTTACTAAAAAAAGCAAAACCTTTCCTATAAAATCTAGTTTCTGGAAATGCTTTCTCTACGGTTCTACTACCTATTTTTTACTCATTTCTCCCTTAATATCATATAACGTTTTGAGTGTCTTGGCCTGTTAAGAGGTTCATAAGTGTTGGTGTGCATGGGTCTTAAAACCTCATCTCAAGTGTGTGTATGATTTAAGATTTCAATGGAAAGTACAAGGTAACTAAGTAACCAGTTTCATAAGTTATCATTTTGCCAGTCTCTCAATACATAAAGATATTACTGCTTAGTTAAGAATTTCATCTGGTTGATATTATAGAAGAAAGCACAATGTTTTTTGCCGTTCGGTCTTCTCTGTAAAAGTCTTCAAGTGCTTGTGGGTTAAAAATTGAATGCAGTCTTAAGTGATGGCTGCCTGGAATGGAATACATTTAAAAATGTCTTGTTTTTCCTTCATTCTTCAGCTATCAGTGGAGGGGCATGAGGTGCTGAGAAAGACAGCTAAGGTGCTCTGCTGCTTGGAGTGTGGTGGGTGGATAGAGGGCTGTGTAGGGAATAATTTATGTTCATAATAGGTATTTGCCTGCATATTTGACTGAGAGAAAAACGCAAGGCAGTCTCCAACCATGAATAGCTCCCTGTTTATCTTCTCCAACCATGAGTAGCTCCCTGTTTATCTTCTGACAGTTTGAAACTCAAATATATCATTTAATTGATACTGTGGGATTTTCTGTATTTATTTGAAAGTCACAGAGGATTTGGTCTGACTTTTGACCATTTAGACCAAAGGTTGAGAACAGATGAGAGACAGTTTAAAAAAAGAAAGAGAAAAGAAAAATATATAGAAATGTGTAATTTTGTAATTAGTGAACTAAGATTCATCTGTTAAAGAAATGACGATGTTTTTTTCACTTAGAGGAAAGTACTTATTTTACAACGTAACTCCATTCTGCGGTGTTGTAACATTTCATATTAAAACTTGATTTAAAATGTTTCTTTACCCTTCCTATCTCCTCAGAGTCGCAGTTCTGCACCACTTGTTCTTTAACTTATTCGTTAATTCTTTCAAAGGTATTTCTCACCACGTTCATTATAAACCATTTTGGCAAAGGTTATATAGGAAGGAAGATGAAAACTGGTAGGTCAAGAGTAGGTCCTTGGAACTGCGCAAGTGCAACGACAGCTCTCTTGTGGTCCCTCCAGCCGGGGTTGGCCTCGCTGCCTGTAGTGACCCTGCAGAGATGTGTGGAGACGCAGGGCCAGGCTCCTTCCCGAGCTGCTGCCTCCCAGCTCTTCCTGACTCACACGTGGACATCATGGAACAACAGCTACTGCAAGTCACGCTTCAGATAATTGAAACGGCAGATGTGAAACCTGGGTCGCCCGCGATGTACTTGAATAATCAAAACCCCAGCGAGGGCTGACCTGTGAGATGAGAACGATTTCACCTGTGCTTCACTTCTCTACTTTTGTCTTCGACACGTGTCCAAGAAATGTCAGCTTGTTTCTCTTAATTCTTAGATTCTGATGCAATTCAGTCGGTGTAAGAGAAACTCCCTACTTGGCAATATTTTAATTCTACAGTACATTTGTGTGAATATCAGCCAGTGCTTAAAGTAGGAGGGTGAAAGGGAAAACTGAGAAAGCCCTTTTTTCAGAGGAGGGATTATCCACTTTTTAAGGAGAAAGTGGCAATTTGAAGGGGGATTTGAAAATTGGGGGAAAATTAAGCAAAGACCCACACGTAACCAGGTTCAGTAAAGGTACACATATGAACTAGCTTCATATGTGTGTAGAAAGTTGCTTTTGCAGTACGTCCTTAAGTCTACATTTTTAAAAGCAGGCAATTGGTTTGCCTTTTACCTTTTGAAATCCCACTTTTTTGTTTGTTTTTAATTAAGGCATATCATTACTTTGGATGTGGATGTGCCATGGCATTTAGTATTTACAGCATGAGAAGGAAAGAATGGATATTAATATATTTTGGAATTCTAGTCTTCTCTTGGTCTGGATCGTATCCAGTCACCACTATGCAACGAATGATGTGCACTGGGAAAGGATGTGACGGGTTTTTAAAGATGTGTCCTGCTTATTCTTACTTTTGCAATACTCCAAGATGTCTAAACAGGAATGTCTTTTGTAAGCCTCAAGACCTATTGATTATTCTCTTACATGTTTATTTACCTGTTAGTGAGACACTTAAATATAATATGGACTCTAATTTACCAGGGATTTTGGTGGTGCCTTATGAAAAGCATAACTTGATTTCTTGTTTTTTGAGCATGTTTTGCATTTCTTTTGTTTTCTGAAAGAATGTTAGGTATAGTTATTTGCATTACATCTAAAAAATTTTTTTAAATTGTGTGTGTGCTCAGGTCCCCCCTACCCTGTCATTCACATTGGTGGCAACTCTAAGTGGTAACCAAGTAAAGGTAGATTTTGGTAATTGATCTGAGAGCCACTTTTAACCTGTTGCAGAACAGTTTCTAATGTGCATTTGCTCTCTATAAAATAAAGAACTGGCCTCAAATAACTTCACCAGTGGTGTGATTAGCCTGTTACATTGCTGAGAATAGTGTTTTCAGAAAGCGTGAAGTAGGAGAAGTGATTCCTGCAGATTTCACGTTTCTCTGTTTTCAGCAAGAGTCCAGCGATGGCCAACAGACATTTTCCCCACCGTTGATTTCTTAAGCGGTTTATCCCTTTGTAGCGAACCAGTGATAAAAGCAGGAAAGATGAAGAAATACTTCATTTTTCCTTTGGCCTCCTAGTACTTAAAACTAGCTCAAACTGCACCTTACACTTAAGAGAAGTAAATGGCCCTTTTTGCTCATTGCCAAGGTTATCAGGTCATGCAGGCGAGGGACAGATCATTGCTGAAAATGTTAAGGTTCTGCCTGCAGTGAAATTGGCCTCAAACATGAAGTGTTTGATTGTGTATATATGTGTTAGGGAGGAGAATTAGTGGGAAGAAGGAGGAAGAAAAAACTGGTTATCTGAACTTGGAAAGGAATTTTCTTGCCAACAACAACAACAAAAAAACCATGAAATTTCGTAAGATTGACAAATTCTTTTTTTTTTTTTTTTTTTTTTTTTTTGTGGTGCGCGCCCCCCTCACCGCTGCGGCCTCTCCCGCCGCTCCGGATGCGCAGGCTCAGCAGCCATGGCTCACGGGCCCAGCCGCTCTGCGGCATGTGGGATCTTCCCGGACCGGGGCACGAACCCGTGTCCCCTGCATCGGCAGGCGGACTCTCAACCACTGCGCCACCAGGGAAGCCCAATTCTTTTCTTTTTAAAAGTTGTGTGGAATCCACCCAGTTTAGACCACGTATTTCTTGGGGCCTTGGCATTGTGGTTGATACCAGTACGTTGAAGATCCAGAATCTCTTCATGGGAAGCTTAGCCTTGCATTGGGAAGTCTCAGATAACACGACGAGCGAACAATACGGAAGAACACACTCGAGGACTGTATGCTGTGACAATACAATTTGGAATTTCTTGACTCTTCTCACCTATTTGCTCTTTAAAGTGTGTTTCTGCCCTGCTTTTAGTAGGCGGAAAGATGATTTAATGTTTCCATGTGACAAAGTCCCATGAAATTTCTTTACTAGGCAAGGATTTTCTCTAAGCTCGTCTGTGGAGCCAGGATGTTATCTTTGTTAATGCAAAATAAAGATGCCACAGACAGCCTTAAAGATGGTTTGGTGGTTCCAGTCGGTGAACCTTGTAGAAAGGAACTCTGATGAGTTGCCAGGGACATAGCGGTGAGCTCAGAATCTAATGTAGTTCAAAAACAACACCCCCTCAAAACAAACAAAAACTTCAAAAGCCCAGGTGAGGACTTCAGGGTTACATAAGAAAGAATGTTGGATTTAGGAATGAACTGATGTGGGTATTAGCTCTTTGTATGACGTTCTGTTGCTTACTTCCCTTTTTGGAATCTGTTTCCTACCATGTGTGGGTTAGTTAGTTCTTGTGGATACAAAGACATTTAAGTTACAGCCCTTCTCCTTGAAGGAGGATAAGGCAGACGTTTCTAAGGATGTTTCTTAGAAAAACTTGGATGGAATTGAGAAGGGAGGATAGTAGAGAGGTTTTGGACATGTAGTCCAAATTCCCATTCCGTACTCCTGAGGAGGGAACGCGCAGGCTCTACTGAATATTCTGTTGTTAGAAAATGCAAGTCTCGGTCACTAACGTTCATATTAGAGCACACCCGTGGTCTCCACTTGGGTCTGAATTTTGCGGAGTTCATCAGGCACTTTGACGTGTGCCCCAAGACCAGTACCTTGCTGTGCTCTTCAGTAAGACGAGTGTATCAGACACGTTCCGACAGACCTAACCGTGCCCTTCCCTCCTCCTGAGTTGGTAGCTACCCGGTCTTAGTGAGAAATTCGCGCGCCCGCCCCCTGCCCGCCAAAGCATCGGCCCCTGCCCTCCTCATTCTGGGCCGCTCTTTGCTGAGGCCAGTAGGCCACCCGGGCCCTGGTGGCTTTAGTCTCCTGACTGAACCCTGCCATCCTTTCTGCTTGGCACTAAGCTTTGTGGTCGGTTGTTTCTCCTTACTCTGGCCCTGCAGGAGCTCGTCCCCGGTCGGTTCCGCCATCCGATGTCGTCGCTGCTAAATACTGCCGAGCACGCGCCCTTGATGGGTAGCTCTACAAACTGACTCAAGGAGGCCGGCTCTCAGAGCAGGTCAGCAGCCGTGAAGGTCCAGCAACCCCTTCCATTCTTTTTTTTTTTTTTTTGCGGTACGCGGGCCTCACACTGCTGTGGCCTCTCCCGCTACAGAGCACAGGCTCCGGACGCGCAGGCTCAGCGGCTATGGCTCACGGGCCCAGCCGCTCCGCGGCATGTGGGATCTTCCCGGACCGGGGCACGAACCCGTGTCCCCTGCATCGGCAGGCGGACTCCCTAACCCTTCCATTCTTAAAGACACTTCAGACCTTGGTCTCTTGTCCAGTCCCCATCCCACCACCTCTCTTCCCTCAGCAGAGGCCTCCCCTGTAACACGGAGGAAACTGAAGCCAGCAGCCGGGCTCGGCATCCACATCTGTGTCAGAACGGGTGTCTGTCCTCTGGCCAACACAGACCGTAGGCAAACGGGCGAGCCGTGAGTCCCATCCCACGTCACCTCCTCAGAGACCTCGCACCCTCCCTCAGCGCATGAGCTCAGGTCTCTCCCTCTGACGTGCTCCTGACCCTGGCTCCCTCTCCTGCTCTCTTGGTCCTTCCTTTGTAGCCAAGCCCCGTTTGTCCCCACACCTCACTTTAAGATCCCTCAATCTACGGTAACCTGGACCCTCCTTTCCACATTCCACTGAGGCTGCTCTCACGGAGGCCATAACTGACCACATGTTGCCAAGCCTAGTGGGCACTCCACTTCGTATGTGACATCTGACACTTGTCCACTCCCTTGGTGAGAGACCTCCATTGGCTTCTTGGCCACTACATTTTCCTAATTTTGCTTCTCTGCAGCTGCTCGTTCGTCTTCTTTTCTGTTTACCCTTCGAACAGTGTCCTCAGAGGCTCATCCTGTATCTCCTCCTCGGGTGCCCTCGTTCCCCGCCCCCGCCAGCTAACACTTTAATTCAGCTGTTTCCCATATCAAAATCACCTGCCCAGGCTGGCGTGCTCTGCTCTTTAATCAACTGGTAAACATTTCCACTTGTATTTGTTTTAATCACTCCAAACTCTTTGTGTCAAAACCTGAACTTACCACCTTCTCACCCCCAAACCAGTTCCTCTCTATACCCTGACCGAAAGCACAGCTAGGTGCCCAAGCCAAAATTCTGCAAGCCATCCTAAGTCCTTGCTGACCGCTCGCTTCCCGTGAGCAATGAGGTGGTCACTAAATCCTTTAGGTTCACTCCCATCTTCATCTCCGTCTCTTCCGTTCCTGTGTGATGGCATCACTTCAAGTTCTCACCACTCTCACCTGTTTTTTCGGACTAGTCTTTAGTCTGGTCGATGTCCAGTTGATCTTCCAAATTTCTACAGAATAAACCGTCTAAAGAGCTGATATGTTCAGTGCGTTGTTCTACGGAATCTGCTCGTGTTTGTCTTTCTACATGCATCTGCTTCCACACACTCTCAGCCACTGTACTTCCGATACATGGATTTTCATTTCCTAAACACGCCAGGCTTCTGTCTCATTTTTGAGGTGCGGGCTTAAATGCCACCTCTTCAGAGGCCCCTGTCCTCTCACAACAGCTTGTTCTGCTCCTTCATGGGACTTTGCAGCATGCGGCATGATTGTTTATAAATTCCGTGAGAGCAGGGGCTTTGTTCCCTTTATGTCCATACCCAACACCTAGAACAATACCCTGTGTAGAATACACATCCAATAAATAACTTGAGAGGCTGCTGGTTTGTGCCTGTGTTCCTCGCTGTACCTTCACTCTCGCTCACCCTGTACATTATTCTGTGCCTTCGTACTTTCTCTTTCTTCAAAGTTCAGCACACCCCAAACCTCTGCTGAGAAGTCTTTTCACATCACTCCTCTCCTCCTGATCTGGTTTAGATGGCCTTTCGTGGAGCTCTGATAACATTTAGATTTACAGCTTCTCCAGGTGTGGTCCCCGGATCCGTAGCATCAGCATAACCTGGGAGTTTGTTAGAAATGCAGATTCTTGGACCTTACCCCAGACCTTCCGAGTCAGAAACTCCAGGGGCGGGGTCGACAACCTGCGTTTGAACAAGCCCTCCAGGTGACTGTGGTGCCTGCTGGCATTGGAGAACCACTCAGTCACTGCATTTGTATTTCCAGGATTAGCACAATGCCTAGAACAAGATTATTGTAAAGATCTTCCTTGCAGAGAACTGAAATCCATCCTCCTGTGGCCTTCCACGGCAATCCTGACTCTAGAGAATCTGAAAACTAGTTCAACTGCCCTTGTTTGGTAGCCTTTCAGTGTTTAAGGATAGCCATTATTTCTACTTCCCGACCTTCATCCTCAGTCTTCCCGTTTAATATTCTTTCTCATGTGCTGTGACTGAGTGCCTTCAAATTCAAACTCATTGGATTTACCTGAACAAACGCCAACGTACTTCATACCCACCTTAAGCATATATATTCAGAGCATCCTTTTAGCTTTCAAGCTACAGTTCTAAAAGTGGAGCCATATGTCTGTATAGTCACCCCAACAAGGTGGCATTGGCGATGACCATGACAAGGTTCCGTTGTAGAGTTGGGGATGGACAGTGGAAACCAAAGGTGGTCATAAGCTCTGTATATGCTCCATCTCAAAGAACCTGGCCGTGGTAACCTGCAAGTAATTTTGTAAAGTGGTTTCATATCACTGCATTGGTGGTTCTCAGCCGTGGTGGCACATTTGAATCGTCTGGAGAACTTTTAAAAACCATTCCTGCCACTCTCGCCCCAGACCAATTGAATCACAGTATCTCAGAGTAGAGCCCAAGCAAGAGTATGTTTTGGACCAGCTTTATTGAGGTATAGTACCATGAAACTGTCTTATGTACAAGTCAGGGATTTTCAGTAAATTTACAGAATTGTGTAACCGTCACTCCAGTCTAAC